CCTGAGGAATGCCACTTGTCACTGTTCTCCAACTGGACATTGAGCCGTTGACTGCAACTCTTTCAGTGCGACCAGCCAGCCAATTCCTTGTCCACAGAGTGGTCCATCCATTGAATCCATGTCTCTCCAATTTAGAGACAAGGATGTCGTGCGGGACAGCATCAAATGCTTTGCACAAGTCCAGGCAGATGACGTCAGTCGGTCTTCCCTTATCCACCAACACTGTAACCTCATCACAGAAGGCCACCAAATTTGTCAGACATGATTTGCCCTTAGTGAAGTCACGTTGGCTGTCAACAATCACCTCCTTATTCTCCATGTGCCTTGCATTAGCAGATTACAGCGGTTTACTGTATTCAGTGTAAAAAGATAATGATGCTTTATAGAACTGATCCTAGTACTGCTGAAATATACAGCATGTAAAAAAAGAGGTGCATTTTGCATGTTACCTGAAGACAGACAGACTGAAGTAGTAAATTGTCATCAAAGATTAGATGTTGGAATGCATCCTGAAATAACACTGTCCATTTTCCAAGGAGCGTTGAGTCAAATTTAACCACCTCTGGTACAGACTGGATACAGTTTGCACGTAAGTGCTGTATCAGATATGACCTCCCACTTTAACTCAGAACCTAAAAAGTACTATCTCTATCCTAACACAGATAATCGTAGAAAATATGAGAGATAAAACAGACTGCACACATATGGCTGCAGGAATGACCACCATGCTCATCAGTGGAGCTCACCTACAGAATCCATCATTCTGAATCATTCTCTTTACTTTTAATTTTCACAAGCTGACTACCTCTATGATCCCAGATTGCTTTCACACTTCCTTCCCAAAGTTAGTATCTTTCAGCAATTACTTTTTACCATACTACCAACCTGAGTTACTGTTTTGTCAATCCAAACTGCAAAAATTCCTGTCACAGTCAGAAGCATTTATGACTGTATAATCCAACTGCTAATTTATTGCCTGCCTAGAGTAATTACTGTGCATTATCCATGCAATCTTTACAACCTTCTTAACAATTAACTTACTCTGAGTTTCTGAGTCTGAGCTGCAACTCCATTTGGATGCATCATGGCAATAAATATAGGAACATCTCCAAGAGGACTTCCTACACCTCCAGCAATGCTCACTCCTAGTGAATCTGCAGGGGCCTGTTATTGTAATAAAAAAAGATTAGATTTTTCTGGAAAGAAAAACACATACAAAGAATTGTAGGCTTATCTCAAAAAATTACTAAAGCCTGTGTCTTATGAAAATCAGAATTCCTATGTCTCAAGCCATTTTTTAAGCTAATACACTTTGCATCATCTTGAGAAAGTGCAGAGAGCATGATATATGTTGTTTCTTCCTATCAGTGGTAGGTCACCATTTCCTGACATAGTTGTATGTTTTATCTTAACCAAACTAAATATGGAATTCAGCATCAGACCCTTAATGTCAGTGTAGAAAGTCTGGGCAAGGAAAACTGGACAGATGGGACTGATTGTCCCTAATATTATCTATAACCATCTCCTATTATGAACTGCCAAAGACGAGAATTAATCTTTATGCTCCCCCTAGTGTCCTATTGTTGAAGAACAAAACTAGCTGTTTACTACTGTACAACATGCTACTACCTAACTGCAAAAACTGCTATGTAAACTGGCGTTTGCAGACTTTACTGTAGAAAGAGAATGGCTAAACACAATCCATGTCATTATGTGAACTACATGCAAGGCAAAGTCAAATAGATACAAATATTCTAGACAATCAGAAGCAGTCTGTGACTCAGATCTCATGCTCCTGTAAATAAGGAAGTCAATTGAATTTCACAGTTGAAAAGATGGCAGCTGTCATCTAAGAGCCTACCCATTAAAAATATGTGTGAAGAAAGATATTAAATATGAAAAAATGTGCTTGCAACTTTAGTACAGTTCCCCTGACTTCATTAAAGCTGAATCTGGATTTAACTCAGTCTGATAACAGTAAAACTAGGTTCCATTATCTCTTACTAATCCTTCCTCCTTTTGCTTTCAAAACAGGTCACAAAATGTGATAGCATAAATCAAACTGATTTTACATAAAAATACAGGCAGTGGAGATCGTACAGTCTTGACCTGAAAAGGCAGGCAAATTAATTAGCTATTGCCACATCAATTCCCCTCTCAAAATTACTAACATGGCCAGACTTCTTTTCTGTAAACACAACTATTGATGACATCTACAAAACCGGTTCCTGATATATACCACTTTATGCTGTAACTTACCTTTTTTATTTCAACTGTTCTTAGTCCCTGTATTTCAGAAGCTGCTGCCAAATTAATAAAAAAAAAAAAAAAAAAAAAAAACAAAAAAAATAAAAAAAAAAAGAAAAGTTGAACTAGTATTTTTAGGAAACTTTTCCATTAAAGTTATCCACACAACTATGATGATTCTAACTTTCTGCTGGATTATTACAGACATACGTTTTAAGAAGATTTTGAAAGTGGCTGTCATTGAATTAATAGGATTAAAATACTTCTAGAATGGGCAGAAAAGTAATTCATTCTCTCCATTTAAATAACTTCTGGAATAAAACTGCTAAGCATGCTCAAATAGAATAGAAAAAAATCTACTATATGCTAGCAATACTTTGGTCAGAAATAACTTTGATCTAAATTTGAGCACAAGGCAGCTATTCCACATCTATTCTAATTTAGCTATACAGTATCTAGACTTCTATGAATGAGAGCTTGACTGAAGATGCATTTAGGATTAAACAGAAAATTATGGCTCAATTTAGAGTCTCAATATCTAAACTGCTGGTATAACAAGCTGCTAGTTTCTTTTATAAAAGGCTATCCAAACATATATATGATATACTGTACAATAACCACCCTGTAGAGTTTTAATGACAATGGAATTGCTTTCAGGCCTATAGTACATAATGACATTTTAGAGAAAGTGAAAGATCTCAGCTACGGTTCACACGTATAAAATACTGAAAGCACCAAAGAAACCTTACCAGTATTCTTCTTCAGACCACTTTCAAAGACTTCAGGTGCACTGGACCCAGAAACTGGAAAACCGAACGATGAGAGACTGCCACTTCCTTCGCTGACCTAAATACAATTTTAGACTGGGATTAGAGAGCAGCTTCAGACACCCAATTGATAAAACTAACCCACAGTATTCAGTGGATTTTGCTGTATTTTACTTTTTCTGTGCCCAGTTAAAGCTGATACAGTGAACCTCCACGTATTTCCTTGTCACTCTAGAGGGCTCCTTGTTTGAAACATCATTAGACCAACAAAGATTGCACGCCTACGACCCCACACAATGCTTTGGAGCACTGCTTCTGAGGGCCAGACTGTGTTCTTACATTTGCACCTTCTATCACCTCACAGAGATCTTCTGGTGCAAATGTTAGCCACAATTATCAAAGTAGGGACAGAATACAAAAGACAGATCTCTATACATACATCCTCATGTGTACACTCATATTCACCCACTCCATCAGCTAAAACTAAGATTAGGCTCTACACTCAGCTTCATTTGCACAATTTCCAGAAAGATTTTCACTATACCCGCAGGGCAATGTAAAGGAACAACATGGCTCCCAGTGAGACTAGTTTGCTGACTGTTACAGACTCTTCACAGAAAACATTCAACATTGTGAATTACTTCTTACTTAAGAACTTAGATTAAGTCTGCCTAGAGCCTGCACATTTTTGTCTTTTTTTGGCATTACCCATTTTGAAGAGAGAATAACATTTCAGTCTTATCCAGTTTTAATCTGTTCACTTGAAACTGTTTAATTATGATTTGTCTTAAAACTATTTATCTTCAGTACTTGATGATCTGCATACCCAGTTTAAAACCAGAGAAAGTTCTAAGGTAATTTGTGAGGTGTCAGAAATATAGTTCCTACTAGAAAGAATCAGAATTCAAATGCGGCAACTGATGCAAGTTTGTAACACTCCACCATCAGACCAACAATAAAATAAATAAACATGAGAAAAGCCAGATGGAAAAGGTACAGGTTTCCTGCTTCTGATGACCAAGACTACAGTAAGAAGTAAGGAGTGGATAAATTCATTAAATTTACTGAAACAAAACTCCACTGCATGCCTAGCACTGCTAAAGTAACAACAAGGTTTAAAATTCACTCCAACTTCTTCTGGTACCGATGAGAAAGAATCAGAGGTCTCCCTGCTTCCAAGGCTGCAGCCATGAAAACCAGACTAGGAAACACAGCAAAGCCATTTCTGGAACACATTTTTGGCTGGATCAGGTCTTTAATAGATAAAACATGCTACAGTGAACATATAAAATGGTTATCAAAAGCTGCAAAGTACTTTTCTTCATCTTGGATCAAGTATGTGGAAAATCATTGTCATCATAAAACCAATTCTTTTTATTTGTTTTCATTATTTAACCACATTTTATTTCTTTCAGACTAAACGGTTTTACAGTTACGCACCTGGCTGCTCTGGGATGTTCTCCTCTCAGAGTGGAATGGACCAGCTTTTATTCTTCCGACCTCTAGTCTTACTGTACCTAATGAACACTAAAGAACCAGTCATTTATAACATATTTCTTCTGTCTACAAGATTAAAGCATATGACAATATTTAAGTCACTTATTGGATGGTGGGAAAAAAAATATGGACAGAGAGGAAAATAATGGGCTAACAACCCTGCAATGAGCACCGAGCAGACAGAGCTCATGGCAGGATCAGAGCCACACAAACCAAGTACACACCATGATATTCAATACTGAGTAGGCTACTTTTTGGATTAACCAGTATTACAATACAGATACGAAAATTCACAAGACTCATTCTTTTACTTTTCACTTAACAGAGTTAAGCAGTTTTGGCTCCTTAACTGTAATGTCAACATACATTTTCAAGATGGCATTTTTCAAGGAACAGTGAAATACACTATTTTCACCATAAGCACTAAAAATAGTCTAACACCTCAAAGTATTAATCATTATTTCTGTTGATATGACTGACAACACGATACTTAAACTGGTAGTTACTCATCTCTTGAAATTATCTGTTACTCTGGATGCATACCAACCTAACTAAAGAAATTTTGGGCAGGAGTTTTTCCAAGCATGTATCTATAGTTTAAGACATCTTTCTGCATCTGACTCCCAACAGGAAGCTGGGTGATATGGACTGTTTGCACATTGGAAAATCATTCTACTACTCTTTAAGCTTTTAATTACACTAATAAGTATTTACACGTCTGCATAAAATGCATGTATTGGAAAAACATTCACCCTGCAATCAAATATTTAGAAAAAAAGACATTAGGCTGATTTTGGAAACAGATAAGCTATCATCACAAACAACATTTAGAAAACTTGACTTCCGAAATAATACAAGTAGTGTCAAATCAACGTATTCAAATTAGAAATTTCAAAATTTTGTTGCTATTTTGGTTTTCCTTCTGTCTTCCACTGGGAAGTTGTTAGTATGAACTCCTGTATCCAAAGAACTTAATATTACCTAAGTTTGCCTTTATTTATCATGCTTTAGCTGTATTACCCTAAGAGAGGTTCATTTATTTGTCAGAAAATTCACAGTAAGAAATAAACTAATGTATCTAAACTAACAGCAGGACATACCCATTCAAATAGGGTTTCCATACCTCATATCCTGTTGCTATTCTCTTAAGGGTGACACTAAAAGAGATATTCCTAAACTGCTTTTTAGTTTTTAAATAATGTTGACTTCTCTATGCCCTGGGGAAGACTTGATCACATCTCAGGCAAAACCATCCTTTCCTGCTTCTATGAATTGACTCGTATTAAACCATATGGACAACTCTTACCCAAAATGGAAAATTTAGGAAGTAAGTCTATGTACCTAAAATTACCACATCCTCACATAAAATGCAAACCCACAAATGAGATTTAAAAATTGTAAGGTGTGAAAGTGGGAGTTAATTCTTTCCAACTGAACTTGTGAATAAATCAATTCACATTTACTTTTATTACAGCTTTCTCTCTTTTCCTGAATTCTTGCATTTGATAAATCTGTACATCAAATGAGGGGAAAAAATGATCAGCTTTTCACATTTTTAGGGATACTTAAAAAGAAACTGCAAGAGCAGGCAGAATTCTCAGCCTGACAACACATTCTAGGTCTCATGCTACTTAAAATACATTGGGATCTTCCAAAGATTATAAATAATTTTCTAGCAAAATATGTTTCAGACAGTTTCAGACAGTTCAAGACAATTTGCTCCTAAATCTTACTCTCAGAACTGATACCTGAACTAAGACTGCTGACTGCCTACATGTGAGTGATCGTGCTTTATTCCATTTATACTGCATGAACCAAACAAAATCGTTAACAATAACATATCTGAGGTATTTTAAAAGCCTTATTTCTTAGGACTAGGACAATTAATGACAAGCACTAGTGAGTGGGATGAAGTACTTCAAACAGGACTATATGAATGGTAAGTGGGAACTAAGAATCTTCAATTAGATACTCCAAAATGCTTGCCAAAATAAAAGAAACTTTCCACATAAAATGGCATTTTAATTTAGAAGAGATGTTGAAGTCCAGCATTTGAAGAAGAAACACACTGTCTTTACATAAAACAAAGTATCAGGTGAGAGAGGAAAAGAACTACTATCCCAGAAGAGTATATTAATGAGTTCACTACCAGAACACAGACCCAGTTCTGGCATTCTCACTTACTGGCACATGCTAAAAATAGAGGGAAAGTGCTCCTACCTCCCCATTCTACACTCCCTCCCCCCCCAAAAAAAAAAGGAAAAAAAAGCTCGAGAAACTGTTCAAAACCTGGAAAAATATACCTTTGCATGTGAGTGCAAAGAAGCATGGTCGTGTGACTATGTATCCAAGAGTCAGCTATGAGTAGTGGCTGTTAATTTTTTTCCAGTGGAATGGTTTTCCATTGGAAAATGCTGACTTGATGGAATCCTCACTTAGGAATGTCTCAAAACCCTGGATGGAAAACAGACAAGCTGGCTGACCACTTGGACTTCCTGCCAGACCACAGGAAATGTGTATCTGACTTCATTCTGATTTGGAAATAGGGGGAGGACATCAGAAGGACAAAATTTATCAAGAACAGAATTTCTGGTTCCAAGAGCTGCAGATAGGAGTTTACTTTGTCAGAAATATCTTTGTGAGAAATCAATTTCTTTTACTAGCTGCCTTGGTCACTGGAAAACGCATTATAGTATATAATGGCTGTAAGGTGACATTAGACATACACAGAGGAAAAAAAAAAAGATTAACATTATCAGCTGTGAAAGTAATTACTTTTTGGCACAACTGCTCTGATGAATTCTCCATCATTTAAAGTCAGTTCTGCATATCTTCCCAAAAATGTGAGATAGTTATCAGTTTGTTGGAGAAAATACAATGTTAAGTTTTACGTTGTTCTAGGTAATGGTCTTTTAGTGCCCTATAAACATATTGCACTCTGCACCACCACTACTCCCATTTTGCCCCACCACTACTCCCATTTTCATCAGGCAAAGTACCAAAATCTGAATGCTCTAGGCTTCAGGAAGCTTACATTTGGGTCCACAGCTCGTTCTCACTGACATCTGAGTAACAGTCTGAACTCACTCTGAATAGAACTAAAGCCTTCAAAAAATCTGGATCTCAATTCTTCACTTTTATGCACTTTTTTAATACCTTTAGCAAAGCTGCAACAGCCTCCTGGTTAGCATTTCGAACATCTTCTCCATTCACTGTCAATATCTGGTCTCCTTGCATCAATCTCCCATCTGTATCTGCTATTCCTCCTTTGACGATGTCTGACACAAACACCCCTGTATCATTTCTGCAAACACACACATGGATTTTTGCATTACGATATTGTTTGAGGGCCATTTTTATAGCTTGCTGTTGGGAACACAATAAACTTTGTCTCATTTTTCTGTTGAGTAACACGGGGCAAGCTCCTCCTGGAATGGCCAATTAGCTTAAGCACAAAAATGACATGCACAGTCTTCAAGCCCACAGGATCTGAGCACCAGACTCCAACAGAAACATGTGCATGCCCAGCAAGTCCCAGACATTGACTCTGCAGGTACATTCATACCTTTTCCCAACAATACTCAGTCCAAGGCCTTTTCCAGGCTTCTTTTGGAGCTCTATATTGAGTACATCATACATGTCTTCTTCCTTGTACTGGGCCTCATCTCTGTACACAGTCAGACGAACTTTCTGGGGAGTCTGTCGGAGGACATTTATTGCTTCATATTCCTGAGATCAAGCCCATTCACCTGCAATGAAAGCATACCATGATAAAGAGTGCAGGACCTTCCAGTAGACAAACAGAAGATGCCCACCTAGCAAATGACAATAAAAGTGACCAAAGAAACCACCACACCTCTAATATCTGATCCCCAGCCCACAGTCTCCCATCTTTAGATGCTGCTCCTTCTTCATATACTTCATGGATAATGATTGCTCCCTGTGGATAAATAAAACAAAAATAAATTGCATGTTGAAAGAGCATGCCCTTATTTTGAGCCAAGAGCAACCGAAAATTTCTACAATAATTCATCAGTGATAAAAAAAACAATCAGATGTATGATGAGCAAATTATCAAAATATTTAAGAAGTTTATTCATATTTTCCATTTTAAAAGTGCTTTTTTTTTTTTTTTTCCCTGAACTGGTATGTTTGGTATCTTTTTATAAATGCTACAGAAAGAAATGAAGTAAAAATCTCTTCTACCAGACATTTTAATTTCATTATTGTTATCTCACTTGAGTGACACACATATTTTTCCAACCAACCAGCAAAGTGTCTGCTCCTCCAACAATGCTCAGACCAAGACCAGTCCGCCCTTTGGAGATATCAATGGTTGTTTCACATCCAGGAATGATGGGACAAGTAGCTGGGTCAGAAGCTAATGTGGCTGGAGTTGAACATCTGCTTGTGTCTAAAACAACAATTAGAGGAAGAGGAGTCAATATTGGAAGTGACTTTAAAACAGCATTTTGAGAGTGCATCGACAGCTCTACAGAAACAGCTGAGCAGCTGACCTATAAAGAATGATGCTGCCAACTCTCCCTTCCCCTCAGACAACTACTATTCTGTAGTTTTAATCCAGTTGTCCTCTTTTTATACCATCAAGTAGGTGGATCACAGCCTGGAAAGCCAAAGAAGCTATTGTATAAAACAGATTCTATTCGGGATAGAATTTAATTTAAACATCTATACCAGCAACTCTGCAATGTAGATCAGAGATAAAGGAAGTACATAGTATGTATTAAACACACAGATTCAAGGATGTCAACCCTGCACTTTCACAACGGGTCAAGTCAAGGTCCATCTAACTAAATATTCCATCTCAGACTCAGATCTGTACCATGAGAAAGAATGTTGAGTATGAATCAAATGTAGTGATACTTCACAAGATCAGCAATTCATGGTCAAGTCAAAGGTTTTATACACTGTATTATATTTAGTGGCCCTCAAAAAGACCTTTTTTACACCAATCTAACTTTTAACTGGCCACTGACACAGCTTTTGGAATCAGTAACTTTCATGGTGTAAATGTATATTGTCACAGTGTAAATACATACGGCATCCTTATGTAGCAATTTACCTGTATATTCAGGATCTTTGGTATGTCACAAATGGATATTTACTTCAGTATTTTACTCAGTTCTGTATCCTTCGAAGAAAAAAAACCCTAAAAATACTAGGAGGGGATATTGCATAGCAACTAAAGGAAAAACTCAGAAACCTAACTGTTCAGATTATCACTTATGTCCTCTGTGCTTTAAAAAAACACCAAAATTACATTTTTTCCAAAAGTTAAAAACAGGGATCTAAATCCTTTTGAGGCACTTTGAGAGGGCATTGATTAAAAGAACTTCCACTGAAACTAACAGAGGACTTGACCATTCATAAATATGCATTTATGTTAGACAAATACTTAGGTAAAGCATGAGCAGTAGGTCCTGCAGGAACAGCAAGCCTCAAACCTAATCTTGGCCTCTGAAAGGAACCAGAAGGGCAATTAAGATTTTTTAAGGGTAAAGATTTTGTGTGAGTAGAGAACAGGTTACTCAACTGCTCTGTTATGCAAGTTCTTCATGTGTACGATGAGCAACTACTCAAGCTTAGTTGGACATAAGTAGGGTAGTCAAGGCTTAAGTATAATAATTCTGTCCAGAAGGTATAAAATGTACATGAAATATATGAACTGAAGAATTGGAAGGGAGTCTTGGTATGCAAAGTTGACCGCATCTAGATAGCTGCATCAGTATTGGGCCAGAAATTGCCTACATAGTACCGCCGGAAACATTGAAGTTGGGTAGAAATCAGGCCAATAGGGAAAAAGTAGGTAGGGATGGGTTGCTTATTTGGAAGGAGTCTGTGCAGAGCAAACAAGGGGCAGGCGCAGCAAAAAGATGGGCTTGGTAAAAGAAAGCTGGGGAATTAAAATAGAAAATCGGGTGGAGAAACAAGAGGAGGGAGATCTTCCAATAACTGGGTTGTGAATCCCTGTAAGTGGTAGTGAAGCCAAGCTGCAATCACAAATCCCCAGGATGCTGCAGGGAGCACTGCTGAAATCTCCATCAGGAGACTTGCTGTGGCAGGGTGGAGATGGAAGGGATAGACTTGGACAAAGCAATAGATTTTACCCTAAAACTAAATGCAGAAGGGAAAACAACAGAAATACCACCTAGTAGGTTCTCTGTGTGTTTCTTAAGATTTCTTTATAGTAGTATAATTGTGTATCAATACTACTGCTAGTAATAACCAATAGAAACATGACTCAGTAATAACTGCAGTGATGTACATATAAATTAACTGTGATGTGCGCATTAGTCAATTATTAGTTTCTTAGCAGTGTGTTGCTTAACCATCATCAATCAGTTGCATCTCGACTCTCCACTCTAAAGAGAGAGAGTCAAACGTGGCCAGTAATAAATGGCAAGACAGTCTCAACCGTTCCTCTCTTCTAGAAAAGATGACATGACTTTTCTCCCTCATTTAAAGGAATGCCTCCTCTAGACATCCATGACAGAAGCACCTGCTGCACAGCCTTTGGGAGGAAGGAGGAAATCCCTCCATCCTCCTGCCTCTACAACAGGCCAGTGGGAAGGCAAGAGGTAGGTCTTTGGTGTGGAGCCTTACTGCTTTATTTAGATGGAAGTACAAGAAAATGCAACTCAGAAGACACCTGAATGTGTACAAAAAGAGAAAAATTGTTTACAAGCTGTGTCTTCATTTTTATGTCACAACCCCAGTGAAGACAGACACACAAGGAGAATCTTACTTTTGGTGGCTTCTGGTTCTGGTGAGCTGGAAGAGGGGATAGCTGCTGGTGCCTGCAGATTCCTCCTCTCTGCCAGGGCAGTGCTGGAAGGGACTGGTGCTGCAATCAGGCTATCCATCTCGGCAGAGTTGACTGTAAGCCTCACCGCAGTTTTGGATGCCTTCAGGAGACTAATAAACTAAATGATAAAGAGAAAAACTGGTGAAGAGTGTAACTGGACTGTTCAGTTGTGAAACAAAAATAAAACAGAAGAACCATTCTGCAAACTGGAGCTACAAGTCACAATTCTGCAGGTTTTCTTGGTAATGAACAAGAACAAATATCCGTAATTTTGGTAAGAAACAGCAGTAGAGTTTCTGTAGGCCAGACCTGGCTGATTTTAATCAAGTAGCTTCCATGCAACTTCACCAAACTATACCAGATTAGAATATGGCACTCTTTCAATGGCTTCTCTGGACAAAAGTCTATGTTTACAGCAATTATTAAAAAAATCAGGAAAGTAGTATTATCTTTTAATGCTTGAGTGGAGCCCAATTCTGATCCCACAGAAGTCAATGCCAAAACATCTACTGATTTAAATAAATGTGCTACTGTGATCCTAGTTCCTCAATCGGATACACAGCTGGAATGAAAATCTGAAAATATTACCTGAACTACAGGATGGCAAGAAGAACACTAGAGTGTAATGCAAAACTTAGTTTAAAGGGATACTGAAAAACCTTCAAAATTAATTGCCGTCTCACAGAAGAGACACCAAATCCTCCTGAGACTTTACATTTCAGTAGAAGTATTTTCAGAAATTACTTATTCAATCTCTGTCTCTTCTTCCAAAGACTACCGACTTCCTTGCCGACAACTTCACTATCTCTTACTCATTTACAGCTTCAGAGATAGCAGCATATCAAAGAGTAAGATGGACGCTCTCCTAATTGCCCTTTAACAAACAGAAAGTGATCTTCTCATGCCTAAAGAATCACTTCTCTTGGTAGCAAGGCAGATGCTAGAAAAAAGCCCTCATTGATTCATTACAGAACCTAAATTGAGTTTGGAGAGCTAGGAGTTAGAAACAAATCTAACTGTCTTGTTATTTAGGAATGGAGACAGTTTTCTGCAAAGGGCTGAAATACAAGACTTGGAATATAATGAGGCCATTATTATAGACACTCCCCAGGTATAAGTACAGTTCATGACCTGATTTACCACTGATGCAACTCATCCATGTAAATTTACACATATTAATTTTATTGGTTCTAATGCTTTTAAAATATGAAGTCATTATTGAGAGAGAGTTCATGGCTTTTAACCCATAATTAAGTGCCTCTCAGCCATCAGATCTGAACAACAACAACAACAAAATCGTATCTGTAGCATGGAGATAGATGATTCATGTAAAATAGCAGCTGAGCTTTAAATTCAGGCTTTATCTTTTTCTGCAGTAGTTTCCTTATCCAAACAATGCCTGTGGATATTTGGTTCTTTAAGCCAGCTTTGAAAATGAAGTCAAAGTATAGTCATGAAAACCTCACTGGTTTGTTTACGACACAATCATCTCCTGACACTTCAGAAGCACCTTTTCTACTGGATATCCCACAACAATTTCATCATCCACTGCCAGGATCTGATCTCCAACTTTGATTCGTCCATCCTGGAAACAACATAGAATAAAAAATATGAGCTCTGGATGCTACTCCAAAAAACATTTTTCATTCCCTATTTGGATTTTAAATGTTCTCACACCTTTGCTGCTGCACCATGATCTGTTAAGCTCTTAATAATTACTCCATTACTTGTGTCTTCTTCACTAATGGCAATTCCCAAGCCTCCTTGATCCTGGGGCAAACAGAAAAATGCAAATGGTTAGGTAGTGTTTATCAAAATGTTGGAATACATTCACTAAAGACTAGTGAAGCCTGCAGACCTAACAAAAGTTTGGGTTTTCACAGTGCATCAATATTTTTGTTTTAAACTAATCTATTTCTGAAATAGATTTTGCCAACCTACAAACAGCACATTGGCTACCAAGATAAATCTGAAACACTTCTAAATTCACATCTACTCCTTTGAAACTTAAAAGGTCAGTTGTGATTCAGTCCTTAAATTCATAAATAGGAGTAAGAAACACAAAATATTTGGAAACTACGAACTGATGGAAATAAAACTTGATGATCGAGCTTTAGTTCATTATTTGAAACCACATAAAAATACACATAAGAGTGGAAAATACAGAGGGTGGAAAATGTATGCTCTTCCTGTGAAATTAGTAAATGTTTGTGGCAGAGTGAAATTTCCCTAATGCTTTCACCTAGAATTAAATCATCCAGATACTATCATCTGTAAGATATTCTCCTGGCTAATAATGGAAGGCTAGATGCTTTCCAAGGAGAAAAAATTACCAGCAGTCTGCAAGTCTCTATCCTTATGTTCACTGAATGCAACTGTCTTCTCCATGTCAATAAGCAGGAGCAGCATTTTTCTGCCCTCAGTTGGCAGCTTCACAGGCACAGAACAGCTGGCCATTTTCTCCCAGCTGCACAATTTCCACTAAGTATGTACGTTGTTGCGGGGATTTGGTGTTTATACTCTGCTAATTCATTTACTCTGAACAACTAAGGCAATGATTTTACCTGAGGCATCACCATCAGCTGGTTACCACAAGTTTTCCAAGTAGGACAAGATGTGACATCTTCCAGAGACGCAGAACAATTGGCAAATTTACGTGACGTTAAAGTGACTGACTCATGAGGTTGCCAACAACAGTCATTACCTCAGGAAAACTTTGGCGAGCATTTACAAATAGGAAGAGAAGACCTCTAGAAATCTCTATTCTGACTTCCAGTAAGCAAGAGACTAAGTTTCTTTGCCATAAGAGGGACTCCAATACAAAAAAGCAAGCTAGTGAATACAAATGTAGCTAATGTAAATTTCATTTTCAGCACATACCTTAGGGAGTTCCACATACTGAATGTTTTTACATGAACTGAAGTCAGAACAAGCACTGGAGTTTGTAGTACTGATGTCAATCTAATAGAAAATGAAAACATAGCTGTGAGCAACTATATTCAATATTTTGCATCAAAATAAAGCAGCGCACAAACATTTAAAGTGTGTCCGATCACTTTCTGGATTCATTTAAACTGCTATAACCCTATTCATGGGAATGTTAGATTTACTTCATAGTTTAGATGAACATAAAACAGAATTGAGCACAGCTGTACTAAATTTAGCAGCTTTACTAAAATCTGATTTGTTTTTACATTGGATTTCTTTTTCTTTTGTAGCGTTTGCTAAGCAGACCTGGCACTCCTCTATCCAGACCAATGTAAGTATCTCATTCAAATGAGAGGAACAAAAATTTACTTTACCTCTTGATGTTGAAGAGTCCCTGAAGTACACTGTGACACCTCTACTGACTTTGCAGGGCAAACGGCCATCTGATTTACTGCATCTTTATTTCTACAATAGATCCAGTTCAAGAATGTAGTAAGAAAGTAGTAACACAGCACCATAGTTCTTAGAACAAGTTTAAGTCTAGCGCTTCCTGTTACCTTATTTCTGGCACTAACAATGCAAATATCAAAATACAAAACTCAAGACATATTTAACAACTACTAAGAACTGGGCTCAAAAGCACATCTACCAAAATTAAAACAGAAACAGCCGGTAAAAACATGAGCATATTAAAAATAAACCTGTTTAGACAAATCTTTAACCAGAACTTACCTGATAAAGATTATTTTTACTTTAGATGGTGCACATTTGATTATTGAGGAAGCATTCTGATGAGTCCTTCCATAGAGTATTTGCCCATTTATCTATATAAAGGAAGGTAGCAATTATTTCTCAAAGTATTTTCATTCTCTTAAACTAATTTTTAAGCCTGAAAAAAATCCATTATCCCACATCACTGGCTAATGCAGCAATTGTATTAAAATAAGAGTATTTTGTGTCCTGCTTTTGCTCCCTCTTCCAGTAAAAAATTCCTTATAGTTTGATTTCAGACTAACACCGTAACACTGTAATTCTGTGAGTTTTACTGGGTTGACTTGGGACATCATCTATTTCCACTTGCCATTGATCACCCCATGACTGATATGATGAGGAAGCAGGGCCATGGGAAATTCTAACCATAACAAATAAATGAATCGCCTATATCCAGCAACAAGATTGCTATTATTTATCAAATCTCAGCTCTGATCTAGCCACTTTATACACAGGAGTCTGAACACTGGTGCATTTACAATCTGAAGATCTGACCTGACAATCATTGTCTTCATTTGGCTGAGTAGACTCACTGAAACCCCTTGAAGCTCCTATGTTTCAGATATGATTGGAGGTATCAGTGTGAATTTGCAGAAAATGGCCATTATTAGCTCACATTTTATTAGTTGCATTTGTTCTTGGAAATGGAAAACTACAGTGCAGAAGTTCATTCTAAGAAAGGGGAAATGATTGGAAAAGGACAGCTTGGGCCTGCACAAAGGGAAAATACTACAACACATGCTGAGGCAATACTAATAGAAGCAGAGAAGCAGAAAAGCAGTGAACAGTGTGCAACAGTCGCAAGACACTGAACTGAGGGTTGAGCCTAACAGCAACCACTGAGCTCCCATAGAGGCTGCGTCCACCAAGCACGGTCACAGGGATGCTGAGCCCTGACATTTACACTGGACGTGACAATCCAGATGCGGCACTGCTTTCCACATTTTCCATGGGCTTGTGAAGAACCACAGACAGGCTGTTAGCTGGGGGACGGGGCATGGCCTGCCATAGCTGATGGACAGCTAATGGGAACATAAGGAGCAAGCTCAGATGTCTCCTCTTAGAAGAGGTTGAGACAATCTCTTGGCATCAGTTTGCAGGTTTACAGCGTGGACAGTAAGCAAGAAATCTGAGCAGACTCAGACAGATGTTTCAATGTGTTCTGAGGATACTCAGCATCTGAAACATCAAGGTTTTAAAAACAGACATTTTAACTGATTCAAGAGAATCATCTAGTAAGTAACATTGGACTCTGCAACTAACAGGTCCCTCCATAAGACTAGGTGCACAGCGACACAAATCCCTTAGTTTCTCTCCTAGCCTGCAACTGCCATCCTACATTGTTTACTCTCTCAGTGTCTCCCTCAAGCTTTGTTCAGTCTCATCATTCCCTCCCTGAACCATCTCTCCAGTGCATCCTCAAACACTTCCACATACGGTTTTGAAGTTACACAAAGCCTTTCTGTGAGGGTAATGCTACCTACTGCTATCAGAAAGAATGAGAAAAGCTATAGCAGAGAATATATCTGCAAGTATCCTCAACTGAACTGTGATAATACAAACATATACTTTATGATCATATACATATAGGGAATGTTAGCTGCACATTCAGTGGTTGGGTCTCTCCACAAAGCCATCAGGATACAGCCTGAATGTGTCAAGAGACAGAAGTTCATAATACAAATGGATCTGATCCTGTTTCCCCAACTTAATTCCCATTTTATATGTTACACAACATAAAAATACTCTGATACTGTCACACTTCCAATAGACAGAGAAGTAATTAGAAAGTCTGGAGCGCTCCACAGATTGATGGACTAAAGGATTTCAGTATTTTCCATCGTCTGCAATGCATTGCCTTTCCATGCATCTCCACAACCCAGAAACTGCTGTCATCCCCCATTTTTATCCATTTTAAACACTTTACTTAGTGCTACTACAACCAGGAAAAAAAATCCCAGCTGCCACTATCTGGCATACAACAGAATGAAAATCTACCAATATAATGTCAACTTGGATAACTTGGGGATTTCGAAGTACACTGAAGAACACCTATATTGCAGCAAGAATCTAATATTTTAGTGCATTTTAAGTCAGTATGTTTTGATTTCAGTATAAATTGCAAAAACTCACCTCTAGTAACTCATCTGCAATCTGTAACCTGCCATCTTTGCCAGCTGCTCCATTTGGATCAATTCCCACTATGAAGACACTCATCCTGGATCGGTCTTTGTTACCAGCAAGACTAAGTCCCAGACCTGTCCTTCCTTTTTCCAGCTCAATCATGTGTAGTTCCCCCAGTAGATTTCCATAGCGCTGCATGATCTTTTCTAAATGTGAAAGTGCAGGAAGCAGACGTTGGATTTACATTAGAAAGTTTCACAAGTCACCTACAGAGTCAAGATCAGTGTCCACTGGGCAGTATCTGACAGAAAAATCCCAAACTGGATGAGAGAATTTTAAGTGTACACAATGCTTAAGCTAAGCCTTAGGTGATTTATAACTGTATTTCTAGTTCCTTGTTTTCCTTCTAACTTCGCAAAACGTTTAAACTTCTCTTAAAAAAAGACTTTTCACACATAAAAGCAATAATCTCCCATCTAGTAACACCTTCAGGTAACAGAAGCTATCACATCAATCACTGCCATCAGTTACCTAGAGTACACTGAAATTCTTCAAGTTGTCCTACATGTGAAACAGTGAATTTGAACCACGGAGAAGAGATTGAAGTGCAATGAAGAAGAACAAATTAGTTTTATATTTCACCATGTGAATCTGACCAAGCACACCTGAAAGCTGACAGTAACACTTAACACCTAAACCATGAAGCACATGTAAACAAAGTAGTTCAAACTGCCCCCCCCATAACTTATGCTACGGTGCTATTTCAACACTGAATATTTCAAATATTATCACAAAAGATAAACTTACTCCAGCTGTAACCAAACTCATCCTCCTGCTCCACATCCTCTGGGACCCTGGTAGATGACTGTGCAACACCACAAGTCATTTCTGAAAATGCTGAAGGAGGAGACAGAGACAAGTTCCAAAGTGAAGTCTTTTCTGGCTCTGCATCAGACTGACCAAATGCCTGTGGAGAGTAAGAAAAATGCAATGGCTAAGCAGATGCAGACTCTGTGTAGGGCAAATTAGTACACAAAAATGTTGAAATGGCAATAACTATGGCTTTGAAGTTTAAATACCAAGCAGCTGGAATTCTAAATGAGTTACACAGCACAGAAAGGCTGCAAGAGATCAAAGACACAAACAACCACCAGGCAAGGTAAAAGATAACATCACTCCAAAATGTATTCGGAAGCAAACAGAACTCATAATAAAAGCCCAATTCAGTAAAGTTTTATGTGCCACTTTACACTTCAGAAAAAGTCTCGTACAAAGACTCAAGTGATTTTTTTTAATGCCATATTTGTAAAAGACTTCTACTTCATTTTATTTTTAAGAACCACCGCATATAATTTCTTCCCATGATATGCTTTGGAAGCCAAATAGGAGGAAAGGGAAAGTTAAAAAAGAACTTTGTGCTTTCAAAAATGCCTCCAGAAAAAAGAAAGTAACTGGTCTATTAACTGAAAGGACAATTTAAAAACAAAATGAAACTGACTATAATGCAAGAAATCCACAGTAACTGGACTTTTTCAGTCTTATTTACTGGTTTCCTATAAGCTGCACAGGCAAGATCAAATAAAGGAGCATACAGACTAGATCACAAAAGAGAAAAATACTTTTGGTCGTGATGTATGTGGTCTATTCATATTCACCAAAAGTTAAAACTATAAACAGATGACTACTGCAATATAATGGTTAAACGCCCAAATCCACAATCTGGCAAGCCTCCGTTCAAGTCAGTTTCCCTGAGGAATACGGACTTTGATCAGGGATTTGGCTAAGTGTTTGTAATGTATATAATTTTGCCTTGCTCAAAGTAAACATGTACGCAATAAACTTGTGTCTGAATATCACCATTCTGAAGCTTATGCATGCCCAAGAGACTTTGAAACCTGGTACATCAGATGTTGATGTCAACTACAAAAACTTTAGATAAAAACCAAGTATTTTTCCAACACTAGGATTTTTAGGTGTTGTTATAGCTTCATAATCCTGCTCTCATCATTTCTGCTTTCATTATCTCCATCAGCAAAAATCTGAACACAGTATCTCAGATGGTGTCTATGGGTAACAAAACCACTGAGACAATTTCTTCATCAGAGGCACCAGTGAAATGGATAATAACATACACTTTAGAAGACTTTAATCCTGTAAACTGAGGATGTTGAAAAAAACAGACAGCTACCAATTTAGTCATCCTGAGATTTAAGGAAGGTCCCATGAGTTACCTTCATTCTCTTTATACTCCAAAGATTTAAAGAAAATGCAAATGCCCTACTTCAGTTCCCTCATTCTGCTTCTGCTTGAAAGAGATTCTCCTTTCATTCAGGAACTTGTTCTAGGAGCTTAACTAAGAAGTCATTAAATGTCAAAAGTGTGGGAAGTTTTAATATGGCACACAAGCCAAACATTTATCTAAAAAATGCCATATAAATGCCATATGATATTTTGTTATATGAGTCACATTGATGTGTGCTTCAAATCTAAGACAATGCCATCCCGCTGAGATAACTTGCATCGCTAAACTTCATGGAGGAATTATTAATAGTTTATGCAAATTATACTTGAAAACATGCTAACAGTTACTGGGCGGACATAAATCTCAACTGAAGCAGCAAAATGCTAGCAAAGACATTGTTACCCATCAGAATCAGAGTAGGGTGGAAACACTACTTAATAACATTCAAAGTGATTTTTAATAATTAAAAATTCAGGTATCCACCATGGAGAAAAGCTGGTGACAGACCTCTACCTCAAGGAGTGAAGGAGAGAGCAGTTCTAGAAACACTAATTTTTCAGAATGCTTCCTAGAGTTTTAGCTAGAAAGCTACATAACATACTGAAAAAATGAGGAAATACAGTGTGAGAGCAGACCAGATCAGCAGACCTTACAGTAGTCTCTGTGTTTTAAAACCAAAATTAACATATCACTTTAGTGGTATTCTTGGTAAATGACAGCATCCAAGACCTTTGCACAATTAAAGAAAACATGACCAAAAAAAAGGACAAAAAATTGCTGTCATGGTCCTCTAGAAGATCTATAAGGTACAGGTGTATGGCTGCATCCTGACAGATTAGCACTTATGAACTGCAGCCACCATAACCTGATTGACAAAAAAAATGCTTCTTTCTGTATTTCTGTGCATTTGTACATAAATCTGAACATGTCTGACGTTTAAGGAAATGCTGAAATGAAAGTAAGAGCAAGGTTCCTTTGTGAGAAGGGTGAAAGGGGGGTTACAATGCCATTTGGGCAGAGGTGACCACGTCCTACCTCCAGAACTGTCTGCCACACGTGCACTGCCAGCAGCAGCAGCTGTCCCACGCAGTTTACACACACATAAGACTTTTGCTCCCTGAATCGGGCCACACAGAAAAAACCTAAAATGCTTTAACTCATGAAATACTTTCAGTATGCCACAGCACAATATTTCATTTAAAATGCAAAGCATCAGACAGTGCATGAACCCATCTGGCTACCAGGGTCACTCTGATCACAGCCAAGCAAGTATTAAAAATGGCAGCAAGTTTGGAGCAGTATCACTTTCAACAAAGGAGGCACACGCAGAGGAAGAAGCAGTACTCTGGAAAGTATCACAGGCTATGTACAAAGGTACAGCACACATAAGGTAGGACCCACTCACTGGAATCAAGACAAACCTTGAATGGTGTGGGAGCAAAAGGGTTAGTTGGGGAACAACGGAAGGTAACCCTAATTGGATTCGATACCTCCTACAGTAACAGAAAACAGCAATCCACATATTACAGCACCTTTGGCAATACACAGCATTATAATAACTCATTTTTGATTACCGATTCATTTTGCTAACTGCAGCAACTTTATTATTAACTCCGTTTATAAATGGACTAAAGTATTTAAGGAATTATTAAGGACTCTGATTCAGCAAAGTTTCTTACTGTACATGAACCTTAGTTCAGCAGAAGCGGACAGAAATGACAAGAGGCCATTCTTAACTCATTGTTAAAAAAGGAATTATTCAGAAACTGCAAAAAACATTAGGTTTTCTCTAAAAATTTGTGCAATCTTTTTCAGAAATACTTTTGAAACTATAGAAAATACAAGCCATCATTTATGTTATGCTCCCTTTCCTCAGAACTGTAACAAACACAAAGACAGATTTCAAAAAACACACATGCAATTATACACCTCATATCATAAATGCTTGTTGTACATTCAATGCATTTGACAACATGGGAAAACAGACAAAGGGCACAATCACTCCCAAGATGTATAACAGCTAGAAATTATTTTATTAAATCAGAAATGCATGCACATAAGAATTAAGCCTTTATTTATTATTGTGTTAGAGATTAACTCTGTTCCCAATATGAATAACATGCAGTAAGCACTAACCACAAAAGACAGAATCTAACTTTTTTCATATTTCCAAAGATGTCAGCATCCTGTTCATGGTGCATTAGAAGAATTTTCAAGAAGCAGAGAGAAAATATTTTCAGCATCATAAAATAAAAGCTGAAAATGGGTGGTTTTTTCATGCAAAAAGAAAAAAAAGAGATATCAAAGCTGGAAAGTCCTAACCACATAAAAAGAAAATTAAGTACATAGCAGCAAAACACCTCACACTGATGAGAGAGTTATGCGCAGGTGGATATTCTAATATACACCACAGGGACTGATTTTGTAATTGAGAACCTACTCCTTTGGTAGCTCTGATTGGATCAGATTTAGTGGTTATGATTAATGGAGCTGGCGTTTTTTTAACTTCTTCAAAACTTTTCTAAATGCATGTGTGTCTGTCTTTTTAATTCACTATACAAAATTTCCACTCTCATCAACACAATATTTTACCCAAATTAGTATACAGGAATTTAAATCCAGACAGACAGTAACAGCAAAGAAGCACACATATAATGTTTGGTGAATCAAAAGCAGTGTGTCATCATCCAACCTTGTCAGTGTTGAACTGAGAAGAATCAGCAAATGGGTTAGTGCTGCTGAAGACAGTTGACCTACAGAAAAGACTGGTCTGCAGGAAAGGCAGGGAAGGGTTCTAAAAGGAAAACATAATAGAAACTAAGCAAAAACATATTTAAACGAACCCTTTGTGACTCATGAAACAAACATTTTTTATCAGTTTGTGCTAACCAAACAAGGTCCGCTTCCTGCACTTTTCTACAGACATGTGAAGGTAAGCAAAACTGTATTTGCCCTGTGTTTGTATCAGCTATGTCACAGAGCACTGAGGAAAAGCACTGACCCTCTGTTCTACCCCACAAACTGCATAAAGTGCAGAATTCAGCAGCATGAACACCAGAAAATTTACTTGCTGTGCTAATTGTACAATTTTGCACAAGCATCTCAGCATTGGGGATACTCTTACACACTAGTTAATTACAAAATTGTGGGTTTCTGGATTAGAATAAACACAGTTCTTTGTAATAATGCAGTAGGTTTAGTTTTATTTTAAAAACCATAGATTAATTGTCATAACCTGATTTACCTCTTGTAGTAACACACTCACAGTGTATTTCACAAAACAGGAGGCTTAGTAATATTAGGCATCTCTAAACAGACTGTATATCTAACAATAACTTTTACAGATCACTTTGTATGCATCTGTAATTTTCTGAATTTATAGTTCAATTAAATTCTCTGCTCTTAAACAATACAAGGTACTTTACTATTATTTAATATCAAAAAAAAGTTTTCATATTTAAACAAATTTAAAGGGTATAATTTGACTACTTATATTCCTTATGCAGCTTTTGTACTGTACCCTATTTTGAGATCAGAACCTGTTTAATAAAGAGGGGACAGCTCTGATTTTGCATACTATGTTGGAAATACTGTTCAATGTATACTTAAAAGTAATTTCTACACTAGGTGTATCCATCTGGCAATTGCCTATGTGTCTTAGGGCTGTAAGTTTAATACTGCTGGAAAGGAAGATGCATAATAAGTGGAAAGGAATGTGAAAGGCTTGCAGCATCAACGGATACATTTTTATCATGGTAATTTAATCCAGATATATGTTGCTGTTTAAACATTTTCTTAAAGAATCTTGGTTTTTTAAATGTTCTGAAAATAAAAAATGCAGCCCTAAACATTTATTCTCAAATATCATTTTGCAAGACAAAGAGTAATGTAATTTGGTAAGACAACATATGTCTTAGTTCTACAGTGTCTTCAGCAATGAGAAAATCGAGCTGTGCATGAACAAGGTTTCTTCACTGGTGAGTCACCCAAATTCAACAGGCAGTTTCCGTATAGTACAAGATTTTCTGTTTCCACATGCGATTCACATTTGATTTTGTCTTTTATGAAGAGAATTTTGGGAAAAGTAATTTGCCAGTTCAATGACCCTATTCACTTTAACCATTACATTTGTCATCTGCACAAATCTTTAAATTGTATCTTGATGAAATTTCAAGCAACTAATATAATCATCACATTTTTGATATAAACAGTGAAATCCTAATAAAAAAGGAAACAGAAATTCAGCCATAGTAATTCAAAATCTTGTCTTTTGTATTTTGTCATGATGGCATAGCAGTTAAAATACTACTGCTAGCTCTAATTCTTATCTATGCAACAGCATTGTATTAATATGGACTGACCACCGTGATAAAATACGGAGCATATGAATTTGCCTAAACAGTTAGGTTTTAAGCAACATGCATGAACCATGCTTTCTTGCACAGTCTAGAACAAGAAAACAAAATACTAAAATAAAGAGTATTCTTCCTTTTACTGTTTTTTTTTTTTTGCAAAACAAAACGTAAAATAATAGGATTTACTTTACCTTTTTTCCTTTTTTTTAGTTTTTTTTCAACAAACTTGTGTTCAGCATTTTATTAATGTGTCCAGGATGCTAAGGTATCAGAAACTAGCTAGCATTTCATATAGCATAATGCTGTAACCCTACAAATTACCTGGGACCATAACTGGAACAGGTTGCCCAGAGAAGCTGTGGCTGCCCCATCCCTGGAAGTGTTCAAGGCCAGGCTGGATGGGGCTTTGGGCAACCTGGTCTAGTGGAGGGTGTCCCTGCCCATGGCAGGGGGGTTGGAACTAGATGGTCTTTGAGGTCCTTTCCAACTCAAACCATTCTATGATTCTATGATCTTATAACCATGCTGACAAATTAATTCTTAATCAGAAATACCCAGAGCAGTAACAGTATGAAATGCAGATCTGATGTGTAACTGCTTGCTAGCAAAACTATCAACTAGCTTTTCACAGCCTATTTGCATTATTTGGGCTATTCTGGAGTACAGTTAGGCTCTCTAACTACTAAAGCAGCTGGAATGAAGAAAAAAAAGGGGAAGAAACTCACTCATTAGCAACATATCACTTGAAACTGACTGCCATTCTAAATACATAGTGTTCCCATATTAAATACAGCTACTGTGTGCAGGCAGCTATCTGAGTGACCGCACATGAATGAAGGCAGGAAATTCCCTTACAAGATCTTATTATAAAATACAGATACAAGTTTCAAAAGATGAAGACAATAAATAAAATGCCGTTTACAAAGACCACAACATAAAGCATGTGTACAGTAAGAGCATTTGCAATGTTCCCACTTACAGAGAAACAAGGGTTTGTTAACAATCAATCAAGAAATAACCAACAAGCTGCTTAATTGGGAAATAAAGAGAACAAAGAACTACAATTAAAAATAGCAAAGGAGCATTCTCTAAATAAAAGTAAGTTGTGATAAAGTAATGGCATCATTCCCATCCCAAACTGGCCTAAATATTCAGCAGTGGCAATTTTGTTCACATCACAGCAAATGCGAAAGCCTTACTTTAGGAGCTTGAGTATCAATCACCAACACTCAATAGAACTTTTTCATGCAACTTTACCTTAGATGACTGGCGATAAAATGGGTTAGTAGTTTTCTGCCCACAGGGAGCAGAAGCTGAAGAAGGGCTATAAAGAGACTCTGGCTGGGGAACAAGAGTTACGAGACAACTAGTAAATAAACATGCAGCTTACACAGACTCTACAATGAGGAAGTTTAGTTTCTAGTGATGCAAGCAACTTATATTAAAGCTCAGTAGCTTTTGTCTGCAATGTCCATGCAGCTTAGTGACGGAAAACTTCCGTGTACTTCTAGGTCCTTTCATTAATGTCCAATGAATTTTTTAACAGGTGCTGTATTTCTGCATGCGCTCCTCAGACATGCTGTCAATCTCTAAGAGTTGGTTTTAGTTAAGACTCCTACTCTGCCCCCCAAAAAATTATCTTTCTTGAGGCTTTTCAAAATAGTTTGAGGACGGCGTGCTGGAGGGTAATTCCAAATCCAAATCGATTTCATTCTAAATGGAAATAATACTTAAATCAAATCTTTGTTTCTAAAATAGCTGAGATGGAACTTTCAGGATTAAATATCCCATGCCCAAACACCACCACCTTGAACATTTGTTTCATCTGTTACTATGTATTACATCTCTTCTCATATTCTTTATGCTTACCCTTGGTTTGTTTATAATGCTCTGTACCATAAAGACTACAGGATTGCCTGCCCTCCGTATGGCTTCCACAGCTTGTTCGTGACTGGCATCTCTGAGGTCAACTCCATCCACCTGTAATTGGAAGGCCTCATCTTAACATTGCAAGAAGCTACAAGAATCATGAGTCAGCTTTGGGTTTTGCTTAGGGAACTTCTACTAAAAATCTAAGCCCAAACCTCCGTTACTGGTGGAAAGGTTTCTACTGACTTAGCCTGAGGTCCCTCACACACAGGTTTGAGATTTCCAAGAGCACTGAAAGGACATCAAATAAATATTCTCCATGGTTTTAAAAACAGGTTTTTCAACATTCTTGGTTCAGGCTCCATACGTTTTCCCATAGACAACGTAATAGAAGAGATATGATAATAAGAAGAGATAAGATAATCTGAAGGGAGTAGTAGTGTTTGCCAAATACCCCTTCCTGTAAATACTATCTCGGAATAACCTACCTCACAGGACTTTATGAGGATTACAAACTGAAACTTTTCAGGTGCTGGAGGGTCTTTCATTATGGGTTATTATGTCAGTACACTGTACTTTCTTTATTTTTTTTATTTTTTTTAATACAAGCAAGATAAGACCAATTTCAGCTACTAGGCACTCTCCCAGAAGTTAATTTTTTAGGCTAGAGTTGAAAAGCTTTCTCTCTTCTAGAAGAAAGCATTTACAAAGGATGGCTAAGGACAATTTTTTTGCCTGGCTGCTTTTCCTTATGTCTTTGTATGTATTGGTGTGTAAAACGGTTTGTCTTGTGATGCAGGTAAGAACCATGTTATGGTGAGGTTAGCATCAGTAAAACATTCTCACAATGACACAACAGAAGCTAGAAGCTAACAAAGAAAGGTTATTTGTTAGTGGCAATTCTTGCACACAAAGTTATGTTATGAGGATTACCCCTATCTTTTTAATTGCCTAACCCTCCCTTAAACTTAACCATCCAATGTAAATAAAAAGAAATAAAGAAAACAATCTTGAGAGACAAAATTCTAAACCCATGAGGAACTGAGCAATAACGCTAAGGCTCTCCAACTCCCCATGTCTGAAATACTGTATGCACTAGTAGAGACAAAAGCCTAGATACACCGCAGCTTGAGAAACTGAAATAATCCATTCAGAAGCAGTCACATTAACACAACATTAGTTACTTAATTTCACTCACGGACTTCAACTTCTGCAAGCATCACTGTCATTCATAAGAATCATCACCACTGCATTCATAAAAACCCAGGGATGAATGTTTTTTAACTCTATGGCCATCTAGCAAAATTCCACCTTCCAGCTTGTTATACACTGGATACTCTTCCATCCTGTGTAGAAAGTGCTACCTATACGAAGGTATTAATTCAAGATCCTTTATATGGATCTTGCAGCAGACGGTAAATGGCAGTTTAAGTATCATCATGTAAAGCAAGCCCAGTCTGATCCAGAGGAAGCATCACCATCTCCATCACCCTGCCTGTTATGTTCTTACTGATGGACAGTCAGCTAAGTACATGCAGCAGGGTGAAGAGAAGTGCAGTTCCTAATGGCCTGACACTGGAGATGGGGTAATGTCTGACATTGATAATCACCACAGGAAAGACACACTCCTATCAGTATGTTCGGTCTTCAGTATCATTAAGCAAGAAAGTAGAAGTGGCTGCACGACCACAGGATTGGCTAAGCAGCAGAGAAATCTAGATAAATTCCTCTCAGCAACACCACTGGCTACCCTGTCCTCAGGTATGAGCACAATGCTTTTAACTTCCTCTGTATCAAATCCAGTTTTATTCATGTCAGGAAAAAACATCTGTCTCCCTTAATTCCTGCACAAGATGCACAAGAATTATGTGATCTAATTAAGATTTAAGAGGGAAATAAGTTTGCCATTTATTTGCATGATTTGCTATTCACTGGCTATTTCTGTTGCTATCCAATATGCAAAGGTAAAACCTTTTAGCTTCACCAAACTTAAGTTTTTTCCTACACATGCTGGCTTTAAAACAGGCAGGTAGAACTGCTGCCTTTGTAGACCCCTGCTCACAGTCAGTCATCTATGCTTAGGCTGTATATTGAACTTAAACATCACAGATGGTACTGCACACAAACATCAGCAGATGGCACTACACTCTATATGGCTCAAGTGGTGCCAGCTGGAGCAATTACACAGCTGTCAGCCCAGGACCACGCATCCATCTCAGCGGCTCTCGAGATGCTGGGGGTATAGCAAGCAAAAGGCACTCGGCTGGTACCTCCACAATCCGATCTCCGGTTTTCAGCGTTTCATTTTTGCTGGCTGGGCTGTCTTCCAGGATGTGCTTGATAAAGATCCCTCTCATCATTTCTCCATTACTCAGGCGACTCCCCATCCCTCGTCCTCCAACAATGCTGATCCCCAGTGACTTGTTAGGCTCTCTCCAGAGTTCAACCCTGTTGTGATAAAGCAAGGACTAAAATAAACGAAACTCTGTTGTGATTATGATAATGCTGCACACTGAAGACACCTGGATTTGCACAATGGTTTAAAAACATTCAGGAATAACTCCTCCTTGGAAAGTTTTGTCAGGACTTATCTACTGAATTGCTCAGAAAGTCTGTAATTAGATCTAGCATTGTTCGCTTTATTTTGGATTCTAATCAAAACTTCAAAGCCTTCTCTTCATCTCTTCTTACTGGCTCCCAGAGAGTCAGCCTATAAATATAAATTACTAAAGCAATCAAGAAACTGCTAGATTGCAGGTATTTAGCCCAATGGCAGTAAAAATCAACAGTGAATTACTCCTGCAATGCGCAATATACGTAAGTGCAGCAATTCTGTTGTTTTCTTATTCCTCTTAAAATATATTACACGTTTCAAATTTTTTTAATTTCAGATAAGATTTTATACTGTGCAACTAAATCTGCACTTACTTTCTGGGCTGGTTCCAGTTACTGAAAGCTGCATTTTGAAGTTCACTTTCTTCTCCCTCCCCCTCTTCACGTTCTGGAAGCTCTGGGAGTTCCCTGCTGATGAACAGGAATATGCAATTCAGTTTTAAAGAACTCACATAAACCCTAGATTTCACTGCAAAATTTCATATATTGATTCACCCTGCCAGCGTTAGAATTTGTAAACAGGATTCATATAAGGAGCTTCTTTTTCAGGTGTCTGTTAGAATACATATTGTATTTGAGGATTCCCTGTCCACTTGTTTCCACAATTAGGTTGCTATCCACTGACGACCACAGAAGAAAAGACTGCACTTTGGAACTAGAACCAAATCAAAGCTGAAGGTAATTACTTATTTTTTCCAGAATGGAAAAAGCAGCATGCTTTTGGAGATGAATTTCAAGAAAACAAAAACTATTAATCACTTTGAATATTCTGGCCTATAACTGTAATGAATTTTTGAAACTTAAGGAAAAGGACAGCATAGTTCATTCTTTCTAGTATACATTCCGGAAAGACCATGATGCCAAATTCTCATGTTGGAAGCACCTAGTATTTGTGGCAATACTACATCAAATTGCACGGTATTTAAGAGAAGTTTGGGATGAGGCAGTATTCAATTTCCTTTCTGGGTAGATCAAACACCTATAACACAGCCTTGTAAAAATGTCAGAAAAATTTGCTAGCCAAAGCAAAAATTGTATTCTGAACAGCTTTTTATTATAATGGCTGCTGGTGTAAAGAAAATCGTCCATCTTTCAGCTCTTCTAACATAAAACTTCTCTTCCTGAACTGTGCAAAGTGTATGGAAGGAGTTACATCAGAGCCCTCTGGAGAAAATAGTAAGTCTTTTGACTCACCTGACAGTATGTGAAGGAAAAAATTCAAGTGGCACAGGTCCCTCTGTCTGTTGTCCCAAACTGGCCCTGTACTCGTCTAAATTTTCTGCTGGCACATACGTAATACTGCAATAAAATGGGACATGATTAAAGTAGTGTGAGGACTGCTGGTCCTGCCTTTGGTGGGTGTGAGAATGGATATGAGGAAGCTGCCCAAGACTACTTCGTATGGTCATTGACTTCAAAGCCACAATGCTGCTACACTGGGAATACGGAGTTACACGAATCCTTTGTGACTTTGCAACAAATATGCATTTATGGTCAAAACAAGTAGCTGAACAGCACCTAATTTTCTGAGGGCTGGCCATACCATTTTAAGTAAATGTTGTTTCAATAGCAACATGAGTGTAATAGAGACAATCCAGCTTCACTCAAAACAGAGATTCCTCATGCAAAGACAAACACTGAAGGATCTGTGAGGTGTGAAACACCATTACCATCCTAAATGCTGGCTGAAAATGCTTCTAAAAGTTGCCTTGCAGGAGGTTTTGTGCTTTCCCGGGCAGTTTTATATCTATTTTAGGTTTTTATTCTTTTGGTGAAAAATATCGCACGGGTTTGGACATACAAATATGTTACAGCACACTACCAATGCCACAGGGAGCAATGCACTGCTCAACTCCTTCCTCCACCCCTTCATGCACTTCCAGCCAGCTTGGGACAGTCAGTCAGTCATGTTTCACCAGCCAAATGGCATGCAGACTCCTGAAGCCCTGGTGTAACCCAATCATGTTTGAATGCCAGAAACAGAAATGGCCCAATAGACTGGGGAGGGGGAAACAGAGAGAAGGAAAAAAGATTAAGGTATGAAGAGTATTTCCTTAAAAACTTCCCTCTACAGGCAAAAGGACACCATGATCTAAGCAGGGCTACTTAGATGGCTCTCCTTCAACAATGCTTTGTCTTCTTGAAAACCTTTAGCTGTTTGATAAGCAGCTTAGCTAACAGATCCAAGTGTGCCAAGAAATAAGGCTGATGGAAAAAGAACACACAAAAAAAGGCTTTCCTCCCATCCATGAGATGGTTAAAAGAAATATGAACTTACTTCCCCACAGAATGGGACGGCAAAAAAAAAAAAAAAATCAAAATCTTGACCTCTTCACAATGCCATGTAAGCTGCTGAGAAGAGACTCCTTCAGCTCCAAGTCTCTCACTTACTTGAAGCCCTCTCCTACCCGTCACTCCCTGATTGGAGTCCTCTTCTGTTTCTCACTCCCTGACTGCCACTGATTACCCCTCTCATTGCTTTTCTGATGAATGCCCCAAGCAGCAGAAGGCAGAGCAAATGAAATTTTGTATGACTAATGCTGTCTGTCCCAAACACTCTGCCAAAATTATCATAAAGATCATCTTTGTCTTTGGCTGTGCCCAAGCATGTTCACTACCTCCTCTCACATCTACCATATCTAGAAAAGTGCAGAAGATGGTCATTAAGGAGGTGCCTACGGTGCTGAACAGAAGAAACTCTCCAGTTCTTTTAATGGAAATTTCTAAATTCTAATTCTAAATAATCTAAATATTATCACCAGCTTCTTTTCTCTTCCTTAAATCTCCTTCCTCTTCTGCTTTGGCCTTTTTTTTCAAACACACAAGTGTTATGTGCTTGACACAGGGTGTTCATTCTGAAGTGCTGAGGAGCTAACATGCACTAGGGAACAAACAGCAGAAGGTCACTGACTCTTATCTGTCTTCCTGAGTGCATTCCAGCACTGGGCAACACGCAAGACACTCAGCAGTTATTCTGTGAAACCCTAGCAGTGAAAAAGAGAGAAGAAAGAGGGAAAAGAGTTTTTGAAAATAATCACTATTAATTCTCAGCCATCTCCAACTCCAAATGCATTGAACTATAGCAAAGTGCTAGCATGATGGTCACAAAACTCTCATGGGCCAAATGCTGCTGCAAAGCACCACCCAGTAAGCCCATAAGAATACCTTGCCTCTACAAAACCTAAGAGATGAGCAAGCTGCGTTTCAATGAAAGATGTGTCGTTCATCTAGTTACATCCATCGGTTTCATTCCAATCAAATTCATGAATTTTCACCCTATAAAAATAAGTAGGAAATAATGTATTTTCCCTTGAAAGACAGCTGCTGTGAAGAAACCAGAATTGCAAGCAATATTTCTGCTGGCTAGAAGGCTTGGACAATCTCCTTTATGCTAAACTGCAGCTGGAAGCTGTTGTTCGAAGTATGAAAAGGAGAACAGCAGGCTCCCAAAAAGGAAACAGACATGCCCAGATTCAGCCTGGATGCAGACAGTACAGTGTGATCGCTGACAGCAGAGTGTCCAAAATCTCTCAACTTGTCGTCCTTTTGGAGCACACGCCAAACAATTATGCAGGGTCCCAACGTCCAACGGTAGTAGCAGTCCTTACCTCATACATCTATGCAACATCAGCAATAAAGATCAGCTAAGGGGGAGGCAAACCATATGCACTCCAACTACTAGCATACCGTCTCTCTTAATTATATGAATGAGTAACTGACATTGTACTGCGACATTCAAAAGGTATGGCTCAAAGGATCATAGAATCCTAAAATCATAGAATGGTCTGGGTTGGAAGGGACCTCAAAGATCACCTAGTTCCAACCCCCCCGCTGCGGGCAGGGACACCCTCCACTAGACCAGGTTGCCCAAAGCCCCATCCAACCTGGCCTTGAACACTTCCAGGGAGGGGGCAGCCACAACCTCTCTGGGCAACCTGTTCCACCCTCACAGTAAAGAATTGCTTCTATATATCTAATCTAAATCTACCCTCCTTCATCTTAAACCCATTACCCCTTGTCCAATCACTACATGCCCTTGTAAAAGTCCCTCTCTAGCTTTCCTGTAGGCCCCTTCAGGTACTGGAAGGCTGCTAGAAGGTGTCCCCGGAGCCTTCTGTTCCCCAGGCTGAACAACCCCAACTCTCTCAGCCTGTCCTTACAGGAGAGGTGCTCTGATTATCTTTGCAGCCCTCCCCTGGGCTCGCTCCAAAAACTCCATGTCCTTCTTAAGTTGGGGGCTCCAAAGCTGGACGCAGTACTCCAGGTGGGGTCTCATGAGAGCTGAGTGGAGGGGCAGAATCACCTCCCTCGACCTGCTGGTCACACCTCTTTTGATGCAGCCCAGGACACGGTTGGCTTTCTGGGCTGCAAGCACACACTGCCAGCTCATGTTGAGCTCTTCATCAATCAATACCCTCAAGTCCTTCTCCTCTGGGCTGCTCTCAACCCATTCCCCGCCCAGCCTGTAGTTGTGCTTGGGATTGCACCGACCCACGTGCAGGACCTTGGACTTGGCCTTGTTGAATTTCATCCGGTTCGCACAGGCCCACCTCTCCAGCCTGTCAAGGTCCCTCTGGATGGCATTCCTTCCCTCCAGTGTGTCGACCACACCACATAGCTTGGTGTCGTCGGCAAAGTTGCTGAGGGTGCACTCGATCCCACTGTCCATGTCGCTGACAAAGATGTTGAACAGTGCCGGTCCCAGTACCGACTCCTGAGGAATGCCACTCGCCACTGTTCTCCACTTGGACATTGAGCCGTTGACCACAACTCTTTCAGTGCGACCAGCCAGCCAATTCCTTATCCATCGAGCGGTCCATCCATCGAAACCATGTCTCTCCCAATTTAGAGACAAGGATGTTACGCAGGACAGTGTCAAATGCCTTGCACAAGTCCAGGTAGATGACGTCAGTTGCTCTTCCCTTGTCCACCAACGCTGTAACCTCATCATAGAAGTCCACCAAATTTGTCAGGGAAGATTTGCCCTTAGTGAAGCCATGTTGGCTGTCACCAATCACCTCCTTATTTTCCATGTGACCTCCTCTTTAGTGGGATACATCACTCCTGAGCTTGGAAGAGGTGACCCTTGAATATTAGCCAGCTGTCTTGGGCCCCTCTTCCCTCCAGGTCTTTGTTCCATTGTACTCTACCAAGCAGATCCCTGAAGTGGCCAAAGTCTGCTCTCCTGAACTCCCCCACTACTGCAGCCAAGGCTATCCCTGATGCTCTCAAACAGCCTTATAGGCTCCTTACAAACATGTCCCAAAACCTATCTTAGGTTGGTAAGCTTCCCTTTCTGCCTTTCCGTGTACAGCACAGGAACCGAGAAGAAAAGAGGCTCACTGCATCATATTTAAAAATGCACCTAAAATTGAGCAACTGAATTACCTAAATAATACCTTTATTTCCACAGATGGAGTCAAATTTAGACAATATCACCAGGAGCTGTTATATATTAGCTCTTTGGAAAATTGCATGATTTCTATTCTAGTGCTTAACTACAGTTCTAATTGCTTAATTTTAAGCACTCAAAGGAACATTCAGTATGTTTTTAACTGTTCATTCTTATCTATAACTAAACTCCAATAATGCTTCAGCTACTTCATAAATAAAACCAGAACACTTACTTGAACTTAGCAAAAAATAGCATAGAAAAGAAAACTAAATTACATAGATCAAATGCATGAAAAGGTATATTCTGTGTAGGAGTTCACCTTTGTTTCTTGCTCCTGATTTCCAAAGTTCAGTTAATTGCAAAGGTTTCCCTAGCTGCTCTTATTAGCTATGCTGTATTACTTTTGTATGACTGTTGTCCTCCTCTCCATCCTTTGCATGTTATTATTGAAATGAAGTGTTACAAAAAACCCTAGCTCTGCTGACAATTACAGTTTTAGGAGACATGTATACCAGAAAGTCATCTTTGCTAAGTGGCTGTCTGTCCTGTTCCTGCCTTCTGTGACACACAGCAAGGTCAAATTGTACTAAAGATCTTGGATTTATATCTGCCAGGACTTTTTTCCCTGTTTAGTAGTGCATGGGCAGACATCCCACAGCTATCAAATCCATCACTTGCTGAATTGCTACTGTAGCTCCCTTCTTGGAGGTCACAGTGAGGTCTGAAGACATTCAGCATCATCCTGAACAGCTCAGCATGTGACTGGGGTGATGAGAAGCCCAGAACAAGAAGGATGTTGGGCTCCTCTGGTCAACTCTGTTGACCCTTGTGCTGTAAAGTGGAAATAAAAATCCACCCAGGCACCTGAATGGTTCATCTGCAACATGAGCTGATGATTACCTTAACATGGTCACAGGGAACAGAGTAAGAGAAACGAGCACCAGGAAATAGGGATGAAGACACAAAAAAAACAGTAAACAAGTAAATGTCTGGTCTACTATTCCGTTGCATTTCTTATCTGCAAGAGAAGTTAGAGTTCAATAATTTCAAGGGAAAGTGTATGCAGGGTTTAATCACTTCCTCTTTTTCATAGCTGTGCAGCTTCAAGGAGAAAGTGATTTGGTCTCCTTTCTTGAGAGCTACAACCACCCTCCTCCCCCCAGAGATATGCACTAGCAATGAAAGCAGCGACAATGGAAACACCAAAGAGTACACATATGAAAATATCTTGTAAACACAACACCACATGCAGTGCAGAGGAACATTTATCACATGCTTGACTGAACAGCCACACAAAACCTTGAAACACCAACAAACCAAATAACGAAGTATGGAAAATGTTCAGGACAAATTACTGTCATTAACGCTTAAGGTCTAATTTGAACCTTTTTATACATGAAGTAAGTAAAATGTAAGTGCCACAGAAAATATGACACTGAGATTAATCCAGATATCAGTACATCATACTCATGTCAATTCGAGCAGTGAACCCTATACACACACACACATACACACATGTACATGTGCTCTGAGCACATCTGGGGTGGCTGTCATAGACGAAATTTAAAAATATTAGCAATATTTTTTTAGAATACAGGTGTTTTCATTCCAGTCTTAGGAAGTATGCTCCAATCCTCAAGTTTAAAGCTACATATACATACACATACACACACACGCACTCTCATCCCTTTTTTGAAAATATATATATACATACCCATATGTGCAGCCCCACAGGCATGCACAGACACAGAGAAAGAGAGAGAGAGAGAGAATATGTACCTATATCTGGATATATCCCTGACATTACTATGGATGTCATAAAAGCATGGAATGATTTTACAGACAAGTTGCAACACAGAGCCATAATGAGTTTGTGAATCGCCAATACTCACACATAAAAGAGGGCCTGATCATCAGCAGGTGCTGGAGAAGATCTAGAATGTGAAGCATACGATGCAGCATCTTTTTACAATGATGTTAACAAATATCAGTCTCATGTTGAATGCGAGAGGCATACTTATGGAGTTAAAAGTGTGAGCTGCTTTTTTTTTTTATTTTTCCTTTTTTTTTTCCTGTTTCACCTCTGCTTCATATGCAACCCCCTAGCAAGCATCTGCTCTTTATTGTCTATAGCAGTGAGTATTAACAAGCATGGAAAATGGAATTGCAATCTATCTTTTATTTCTTGATCAGGAATTCATCCACACACTTTAGGCAGGTGAATTCTGATTCAGCTCTGTAATTATCTGACAGATGTTACAAGCAGCTGCTGCTGAGCACAAAACCCTGGCTATTATTACAGAAATATAAGAGCTCCTGGCAAGGTGGAGTCAGAAGTGAAACAGAATGTATTCTGGTAAGGCCACACATCTGGTTTTCCACACACAAAGGGGAAAAAAATTAAATACCTAAGTCTGAAACTCAGATTGCTGGTTCCTGAACTATTCAAAATCAAATTTCCTTTAATAAAATAAAGCAAAGCCTTTATGTGGCAAGTAAGAACAGCTTTATGTTTTCTCAGCAAATAATATTTGCCACTGAAACACAGCTTTGAAATTAAATGCTTCGCTTAATCACTTCTTGGGGACACCCTGCTACCCAAAAAAACCCTCAATCTCAAAGGTGCCAGCTTTGCAGCCCTGTATGGATAATGAGGAATGATATCAAGAAGGCCACACCTGAGTGCTTGTGCACCCTTGTTTCCTGAGTAAGACACCAAAGAGATTCAACTTGCTTATTTGAAATGCTGGCCCTTAAATCACAGATCCTGCACGGTGGTAGATGACATTGGCTCTGAAATGACATCTATATAGCTGTGTATTCCTCTCAGCAAACAGGAAGAACTATCATGAAATAATGCTCCATATCTCAAAATTTCTGATTTGGGACATTACCCACATGTTTGTATCATAATATTTTTTCTGGGATCCTGTATTGCTCCTGAAAGTACAAATTACAGAAAAGTTTAATTATGTTGAATAGTTTTGTATCAAAACTATGTAGGCCCAAAAATATGGTCCTTATTCTTGCAAGACTCCTTTAGAACCTAACAAAGGATTTAGTCTTTCAGTTCTTTGAAGTGCAGAAGCTGGTTTCACTTTAAACCCTTACCATGGGAATGCACCGAAGAGCATAAATATAAAATGAAAGACAAAAATCTTAAGTAAGAATATGAATAGCAACTGCCCCTTTACTGTGAGATCTTTCAGAAAGAGAATGCACTTTTCTCTCGAAAATCTGAATATCCATGTCTAAGACAAGACTTTAGTATTTCCGATATATCTGCAAAAGACTAAAACTACAAAACAAAACTTATAGACACATAGTGTAAAATGCAGCAGCTATAAAAAGATAAGCACAAATAATGAACACATCTGTGTTTGATCATGTAAATACAGCACTAATAAAAGATTCCTCACAGAAGAATGGAGCTGTAGCATTTGTGTATCTAAGCAGACATACACACACATGCATGCACACATACCAACTGATTTCAGTCCTGGCAGTCGGAATTATAACACAGTTTGAAAGCCTACAATCATAATCAATGTTACATTTTATCAACACTGACTCGCTCATATTCATGACAGCATTGACAATAATGTAATTCATTATATGAGCATATCCTATTATTTAAACAAGCTTGCATTAACTCATAATCCTAAATGCATGACAGCTATGAGGCAGACAATTAAACCTACCACCCACAGTGAAGACGCTTTGCCTACCTGTTCCCAAAATGCCAGGTGTCTTCAAAGTTAGAATACTTCTGGGGGAGAACGGAATGCCCTGCAGTCCCTTTTGAACTGACAGAAACCACAGTTACCTACAACCACACTGGGACTGAACTGATCCCTTTCAAGGCCACTCTCTTGAGTAAGTAGAGGCTTCTATTACCAACAGCTCCGTTAATCCCATTTACAGATCTGACCCAATCCATGTTACCACAGGTTTGAGAAAAACAGCTACCAGATTTTTAGAGCTGTAAACAGCATTGGTGTGTCTAGAGCACCGTCCATAAGCTTAGAAACAGCCTTGATTCTAGATGGTGCATGTTAGCTCCACAACGACAACAGCTAGAAAGAATTGTACTTTAAGGGAAAGTTAAAATTCTGTAAATTGAGTGAACTTGAGAAGAAGAAACTTGCTCATCAAGCAAGTGGATGTTTCAAAACTTGTATTAATTACTGGAAGTTTAAAGTGGTACTCCCAAAAGCAGATATTTACGCACTAGAGCAACAGCTCCTTCGTATGTACTAAAAAAACTTGGAAGTGACTTCACAAAACAGACTGTTCCTGCTGTTTGTCACAGATGTACTGAAAATGTTTTAAGTATTACTTCTCTGCATTAACATCATATGTCACACTTTCTGTCTGGCAGTCAAAACCAAAATCTATTATAAAGACCTCCATTAAATGAAGTCACTTGTGCAATGGCCAGGACAGTCCACCTTTGAGAAGAAACACAAACACCTTGAGGAAATCCTTACTTTCTTTAGAAGAGTCATACTAAGAATGCAAAACTCTGACTAATCTCATTCCTTCAATAAAACCAGGCAGGGCAGAAATGATGATGGTTAGTAACAACAGTAACAACTTTTCTAAGAACACCCAAAGCCTCTCACACAAGTGATTTTATCTTTCAAACCCATGAAGCTGTAATCTGAAGGTGAATCTGAAACTGTAACTTAAAGGTAAGTTCATGTTGTAAAAAATCTTCATTTAGAATACTTGCACAACAACTCAAATTTTGATTATTAGCCTCTTCCTACCACAATTCATCATCTAGCTTTACTTACTGTATATCTGGTCCAATGAGTGAATGCCTCCTTAGCATAGCCCGGGCTTGTGCATTGGTTAAGTCAGTGGTTGCTTCTTCATTAATGGACAGGATGCAGTCCCCCACACTAATTCGTCCATCACGACTTATTGAGCCTCCATGGATGATGCTGCGGACTATCATTCCTGAGCTATCCTTATTGGAACTTACCGTCATCCCTATAGTGAAAAACACATGAAACAGTTAATAATAACATCTTTGAGCCTCAGCTCTGAGTGCCAAGAAAAAGAAATGTAACCTGGGGCAGGGAAGGCAAAAGCCAGTCAGCCAACCTGTCAATGTCAGCAAACCTATAAATGTTGCTCTTATTCTCCCTTGCATTTCCTTCTTTCCATGAAGAGACAGCAGTTACAAATCACAATCACAGTATCTTTACTTTACCTTGTGTCATTTCACATACCAGACCCAATATTAAAAAACTAAGACAGTGGAAAATTTAAGCAGAAAATAAACAAAAGAAGGTAATGAAATTGCTTCTGAAACAGCCAAATTTACCACTCTTCTGGATGGTTCACTAGTTTATACACCACATTGTAGTTTTTAGCTTATGATGGTTCTTTTTGGAAAGGAGGTGAAATGATTAAACAGTGAATTAGGAGCATAGGGCCAATACAGCCACAGACTTATTTTCAGCAGAAAGCCTGAATCAGATCCCACTGAGATACTGGCTGCTTTCCTGCTCTCCTAGGTGGGCCATCGCTTAGGTTCATTAGAGCATCCTGACTTCTGTGAAAGCCTGCGAACTCCTGATGGATACAGCCCACTACTTGAGTTACACCAGGATCCTACCTGTGGCACTGCAGGATACTACTTCTCAATGTTCATACACGCCATTTAACTCCACTTCCTTTTTACTAACGGGAAATGAGACAAAGATGTTCTTCCTCCTCCTCCCCCATGGGGAGCCTATGGGGACTTATTTGTGGTGCTGGACTTCACATGTCTTTGTGACTGTTCTTTTACTGTTATTTTCAGGGCACTTGGTGCTCATGAAATCAACCCTGATGACAGCTTCAGGAAAAACTGATCTTCACTAAGGAAATGGAAAGGTAGCTGAAGGGCCAGCATCCTGGATTTCCACTATCTTAATACTGCCAAACTTGTTTGTATTCTTTTTTGTGCACTAACATGGAAGCTTTACTAACAAGATGAAGCCACTTAAGTAAAGAGTGTCTTATAGAGGAATATCTATTGGAGAAGGAGGCAGTGACTACCCCATTACACGTTCTCCGGGTTTTGCATGTAAACATCAGGCTAGCAAGCACTGGGAGTGCAGTTGTGTGTCTGCATGCCCCTACCTTATTGTCCAGACTGTGAGTGGAAGGACGATAGCTACCCAGAGCAAAACCTCCAAGGATACTGAATGAAAAAATCCTAACCATTTCTATACAAACATGGCTACAGAAGGCAGAGACTGAACACTTTACTCTGTGACCTTAGACTTTGGGAGACAGACTGGCTGAACAGAGTTTATAAGGCATCTGTAAGCCTCAGGGTACCCAGACTCAATCATACAAATATCTGCTACATATCCATCTCAGAGAAAAAAATACTGTAACCATTCAAAGAACAACACTAATCTGGATATTAATTTGTGCTTTTTAAGACTCCTTCCAGAAAAAAAAATCTCTTAGTGTTGGCTCCTCACACCCACTTGTAGCTGAGATCAACACAGCTGTCTAAAGTATCAGAAGGTGGCCCTGACTAGCAAGAAACTGCCCAATTTTTAGACACAGGAATACATGTAGCACTCTACCTTGGTATGTGGAAGTCAAGGTTTACCTTTTGGAAAAACTGCAAAATCTATCTTCTTGATGGCACTTTATATTGAACTGATGAAAGAATATAATGTTACCATTGAATGGAGATTTACATTTATGATTTGCTAGTTAATGATGTCAGCTGTGGTCAGGCGTAATTTAAATATGGGTGTATCAGACTTGTGATACAGACACACAATGCCACTGATTTATTGCCTTGCTATTAGAAAAAGCAGAGGTAAACTGCCTGTCACCTACCCCTTAGATTAGTAATGTTAAGCACATCACAGATGGCGTTTACAGGTGCCGCCCGCCCTGGGGTGGTTCCGCCAGCATTTACACTCACATACTCCTTCCAACAACCATCTCTTGACAGATCTGCTCGCAAGGGTTAGTCACTCAGATCTGAATGTAAACACAACTCTGCAATAGACTGGTCTCCATCAGACCACAGGCAATGTACACAGAAAAACAAACTGCCCAGGAAACAGCTGAAATGTGGTTTGAAATTCTGAACCTAACTTTGCTACTTGGCTAAGCCAGTAACAAGCAACAGTGTTACTGAGGCTAGTGTAATAGCACTTTAGAAAAACATCACCCTCAGTTTTTATGCTGACATCCTCATTACAACATATATGAAAGGCTGATGTCACACTTTGAACAGCTACAGTTTCAGGTTCAAAATGCAAATACCACTGGAGAGTTGCCAAATGAATCACACAGGACAATGGCACCTCAGATTTCTTGTTCGTGGGTGCTCCATCCTCTTACCTTTTAAAAATCACAATCAAAAGGTTAGAGCTCCAGCTGTGGCTGGATTTGAAGAGCTGTTGCAAGCTATGGGTGACACCATTTAAAAGGAAAAAAAGAAGGGCCATTTCTCAATTGAAATAATTGATGCAGCTGCAGCTTTCAACATCATTCACAGCTCTTGATTTAGCTCCTTTTGTAAAAATGAAAGTTAAAAGCAGTGCAGCCGTATGTGTAAATTGGTCACTGTACCCAGGCAGCTTCCTAGGCCAGAGCACATACAGACTAGAAGAAAAAGACTACAGTCAAAAGCCAGGAGAAAGCATTATTCACATTCATACTATGTATACATGACAGGCCAGTATTACTTTTCCCGCATGTAGTGTCTGCAAATGTGCATCCTGCCCCAAGTCTGAAATTTGTTTTAGACGTTCACTGCACTTAAAATACTCATATACATACCTGAAAAGCACTGCTCCATTGAGTATCGCAAAAACTTTTAAAACAAAATCCAAATGCCTGGAACTGCACTATGACCTGCACTTTACAAAGCCTGGAAATGAGGTCCGTAAAGGCATTAATTACCCAAGCACCTCATACCAACCAAAATCAAAACTTACACCCACATCAGCCTTGCCTACAGCTTTAAATTTTGGGGAGGCTGATTTTGAACCATATCAGTTCCCGATCCAATTTGGAGGCTGGTTGTATCACGAAGGAGAAGGTGATGTGAAGCAGACTGAGCATCCAGCCTTCAGAGGGCAGTTTATTCCAGGCAGAAGTGCCCACTGAATTACAGCATCACAGCACGGCACCCACCTCTGCACAGCAAGGGAGTCCTGAGTGTTGGCTGTCTATTAACAAGGGGCCCATGGGCTGCTTTGAGGGTTCCTTCTGTGGCAAAGCATTTGTGGAGACACTGCAAACTGCCAGTGCCCATACAAACTCCTGCCCTACCAACACCAGAGAGTCTGAAAGGACATTGCAGTTGGCCAAAAGAAATGGCTCCACCATCCTAAACCAAGGCAAATGAACACACTGGCCATGAACAGGAGGGGAATACCTCTACCTCCCACCACAAAGGCTCCTTCACGCCAGCTCTGGGAACTAGCCTGGGAGGACGCTATCCTTGTGCTCCCCCTCACACTGCCCAGGTCTGCACCAGATACCAAGAGAGGACACTGAAAAATGTTCGCATCTGTTGTGCCTGTTCGCTCCAAAATGTGCTTCTAGTCGGTATGCTCAGAAATACTGAGGCACTTAAGATAAAAATACAAATAGGTAGCAAGGAAGTGAACAGTTTGTTTAGATCCTTTTGATCATCCTCAGAAAGAAAGATCATTTTGTGTTTACATACATTTGAAAGTCTAGCCGGCAATTCTTTGACTAAAGTGTTCTTCTACATCATTCTCACATATTTTTTCCACTATATATGGAATGTATAGACATTAAAAAACAATTTATTAAAGCTGTTCTGTTAACACTTAGGAATGGTTAAATTCCTTTATAAAAAAAAAAATTCTCTCAGTGAGACTGGACACTTTACTTTTGTGTTCACGGTGACAGTAAATAGATCTATTGCCATCACAGCCAAACAGGGCAAGAGCAGCAAAGAACAAGTATCTTGTCATGCTTTCCCCACTAAAAGGAAAATGTTTAGTCTTTACTAATAAAACTGGAAACATGTGAAAAAACAGAAAGCTATGTTCCTGACCAGGTTATAAAAAAAGCTAGCTGCCTTACCTAGACTTGAATTGCCTTTTGCAATAGTGATAGTCTTCTCATACATGTTTTTGACTGAATTTGGAGTTGTGCAACTTCCCTCCAAAGATACTGGGCATCTCTTTTGCGTTAAAAGCGCTTGATCCTAACACAAGGGAAAATAACACCAGTTCAGAATACAGATAAAAATATGATTGGACATACTGACCTCTACTCACCTTATATGAATGCTAGGCACACAATTAATACAGATTCCTTATACAGACATTGGAAAAGCCAGTCCAAAGATCAAACTGCCATATGTGAGGTTTTTGTTTTCATTCAGGTAATATAGCAAATCTACCACAAAGTATGCTTTTAATTTATGAACATCAGTTACACTCTTAAAATTAGTGGGATGAATTCAAGGGCTCTCCAACTCATTCACCACAGATGTCTGACAATCTGCCAGCACTGAAGTAACAAATCTTGTAAGAAATTCCAGCTCTTTTAAGAATTTCTTAATAAATCACAGAAGAAAAAAGAAACACATGTCACGGTGACTGTCATATAAAGGAATATTATGTTTGTGCACTGTGTCATCACAGGCCAGTCTGTGAGCTGAACTGCGCAGGCTTGTGCGTGCACCAGGATGCAAGCCTTTCACACCACTCCCTCTTGGCCTCGCAGGCCTGGTTTCCAGTTGTGCACCTCCCCCTTGTGCCCATGCCTCTGGAGAGGTTAACAGGGCATAAAAAAAGCCCCCTGCCCTGCCCATGCATATGCTGTGGTCCAGCAGTGTCTACTGCTGTGAGGTATGAGCATGCTTTTATATATCCCTGTATCACCAGTCTCCAGATGACTATCTTGACACCATAAATTATCTCCTGTTTTGGTTAGGTCTAAATCTCTAAGTTTTGATGTGAGCTACCACATCTGATGGACATTTAAAATCAAAGAACTATACATGGCTGTTGGCCAGTGTCAATTTCTCTAGCAGACTCTATGGTTTAATATAGCCTTTCCATAGTTTTTTTTAATTATTATTTAAAAAAACCCCAAACCAACAAACTTTACTTTTCCAGTGGGATCAAGCTGTGTGGTAGTAGCGAGGCCTGTACTTAGTGCAGTTTCTGCTGTTGTCTGAGATCCAGTCCATGTTGCTTTGTTTTCACTTTCATTTTGGTTGCTATCTGAAACATCCAAAGGCAGAAGATCCTTTTTCATAAACCCAGCTGCAGTTTCCAGGCTATTGCTCACTACAGACTTTTCCTCTTTCAGACTCTGATTCTGATCCATGTTGTACGGATTCTCATCCAATACCTGGAAAACATGTGTAGCATGTAAACATTCCTCTCCAACAGACTGTTAAACACAGGAGATAATGAACAATCAACATTCTTTTGCAGTATAATTAAAAACTACATTTCATGCTAAAATCTTAAACAGAAATTAATCTCACAGAATTTAAACATATTTCTTATAACATCAGTGTCTTTAGTAGATGCCTACCAGCATTTTACTCTAAAATTTAATTGATTCCTCACTTTCTTGTTTTAAAATACCAGAAAGCAATGAAAATAAAATTACTGCTGAAGGACAATTTCTAATTTGGTACCCATCAATAAATCTCCTTTAACTTGAGCAAAGTAACCTCCATTCATACATTCTCAAACTAGACATAACTCCAGCAAGTTATAAAAATTAAAGCCTACATCCAATTGTCTTTCTCAGGTAGGAGAACTCTGCAACACCAAGGTCTTTACTTTCAAAATATTTAGCAAGCAAAGAGCAATTTCAAGCAGCTCAGACAATAAGCATGCAATCTAATCATCAATTTAATCATCCAGAGCAGAAACATATTTAGATATCCTTTCCATACAAAGAAGGAAAACCAAATACTCGGTCAAATCTCAGCAAAAAATGAACATGGAGTTTTAAACTGTGGCAACAATGATATATGATGGTGCAGTTACAGAAGCTTAGCAGTTAGTGCTTTATTGCAAACATATCCTGTGGTACTAGGATTAAGTTTTCAACATAAAATTTGTTCAGACTTTCAATATTCCAATGTACTGCATTTCAAATATTTTAAGGCATTTCAATAGTCACAACCTTCTGGAAAAAATTTTTCAAATATTCTCTAGCTGAGCTTTCAAAATAAGTAATTTAAAAAACATGTAGGCCATTAGATATTAGAAAGATATATCAAGGACGTAGAGGTTGGACTTACAGGCCCTGTATCAGTATTAGGGATTTTTCTCTGACATGTAATAAATATAGACACAAGAACGTCTACCTCTATCTGTCTTAGCTTTTACCCACCAGTCCTACTAATTCTTCTATTACTTTTCCAAAAAGTGGGGAAAACATGTTTCCTAGGATTTTAGGATATTTTGCAACATTTTGTATCAAGGGCCTTAGAATTAGTTTTTCTCATCTTTCATGAAGTACATACGTGCTTGCGCTGTCCCCAGTCATCAAAAAAGGTTCACTCGTAAATAATTGGTTTAAGTAACACATGAGAAGATAATTGACCAAAGCCTAAATACAACTAATCTGCATGACGTAATCAATGAAATAATTTCCTGCCTTTTGGAGAACAGAACACCAGGACTATAATTTATTTAAATTATTTCATTAGGTTTCAAAGAAACCTGTGACATCTACTTTTAAGTCTGTTTGCATCCATTACCAAACCAGTAAAAACAAGACCTAGATCTTACTCAACATTATGCCATATGGCATATATACATATTAGAGTTGCAGCATGTGCCCATTTTTGGTTTTGTTTCGCTTAAATAAAATACAATGCTGTAATTTTTTAAGACAAACACTATTTCAGGAATTTTTAATGACAGCAGCATGTGGCCTCATTAGAGGATTTAAATATTTTTTTCATCACTTGTTTTAAAAGTGACACCAAAGGTATTCAGAACATGTCAAACACCCTGCAGTCAGAAATAACTGAAATACCTCTGCATTCCTCATAGCATCTAATAGCAATTTTTAATTTTTACTGCATTTCACTTGCTTCAAAAGTCTTTTATGAACAGATTTTCTCACTATGTTTACTTTGTGAAGTCACTCAAAACTGCAGAGTATAAAACGTTACGTGATGAGAACTTAATACTCACTCTATAGTGGTGCATAGAGAGGAACACTGAAAAGTCAGGACCATAATCTTTAAACAAGCATCCAAACTGAAGCCATCTTTAAGTCACTGCTGAAAATAACTTAAGACTTTCTAGAGCCTCAATGTGACATATATAATGTAAATCCAGCCTCTATCTCATAAAATGCTTCTCAGTATGCAAAATGCATAATCCATTTAAGTAACAATTACAGAGTTAAACAATGCAATCTGTCCCACTGGCACAGCAGAGATGTGGTCTTCTGTGGATTAGGAGAAAACATTAGAAGATGAATATAGCTTTCCAACCAGTGCCTCATAAGGGCTCAATGTATTCCAGAAGGGATAAAGGGAGTTACAGCAGCTCAGGTGTGGAAGAAAAAGCAGCAGCTACTCTATTCTAAAGACCACAGACTGCAAAATCTGGAAGAAATCCCTACAATGTTGCTTTCAAAGACGACTGCTAGGAGAAGTGACGTGGAAGATTCTGAATTAGCAAAATAAATCTATAGATTACCAAGAAAAAGGAGCATGAAAAACCATGGAGAGAAACTAAACACCAACTCTGATACAAACAATCAAGTCATTATGGGTATGTGACCGCAAGAAATAAGATACTGATCTTTGTAATACTCTTAAAGAACTTACTTTCATTTACTGACTTTAAATAGAAATTGTAAGTAATCAGATGTTTGATAGATAAATATTTACTTTTAATTACAGTAGCAATATGAACATTTCATTCAAGAATAAAGTAAATGAATTAGCAAACATACCAACTACGAAGCATAAAAGCAAAGCTTAGGATGAAAACTTACTCTAGCTTTTCATACCTACAACACTGTAGAATAATGCAGTTATTTTGTGTCACCACTCTTTACTATGCTCTAATGTAATAGCAAGTTTTTGTAGGAGACTGCTCACCACAGCTTTAACACTACAAACATCTTACCAAACTTCTTCTGGCTATACAAAACGCAATTCCAAGCTTTTAACCTTCTAGCTGCATCTCTCTTCAACACAGATGTCTGAAAGACATCAGCATAATCCTAAGCAAAACCGCACTTCAATCTGGTAACAAATAGTATGGTTTGAACCAAGATGACATAAAGCATTTATATCTAGTAATACAGTCTTCCCACACTTATAATTAAAGTTTTTCATCAATAAAACCATCCTCCTTTTTACCTTGGGAGTTGACAATTGAAGACAGGTGTAGGTCAGCTCATCACTACAGGCAGTGCTATGCAGACCTACCATTGAAGACTGAAAGACGTCATCCTCTAGAGAATACTGTGATTCAAATGTGAACTCATCCGACTGATCTGCCTCGCTGGAGTCCACCTAACAACAAAAGCAATTCAATCAGACAGGCTATTTGTTACCTTCACACCACATAAGCCCTGAACACATGCACCTCATCTGCTACATACTGACTGGCACTTTCCTTCTTATTTTTTTTTTCTTTCTCCTTCCATGTTTTACATTGAAGTTATATTTACACAGCACAGTAGGAAAAATTTCTGTTTCCAGTTAGAATTCATGTCGCTACATCTTCAGAGGTTGCAAAGAATATCTGAAGTAAAGGGAGAGTCTCAACTGGAATGAGTTGCAGGGCTGAAGCAGGCTGATGCCTGTTAATAGAAGTACGAGGTGTTGGGAGAATTCTGCTGTACTCCCTAGCATCAAAATTTTTATTTGTTTAGGGTTTTGTTTGTTTGGGGTTTTTTTAATTTTCTTTTACAAGAATTAGCACTGAAGAAATAATGAGCTTCAATTACTGCCACCTGTCAGGAATGTTCCCTCCACGCAACTTCTCATGTTTGGTTATTTTTAAAAGGGTACCAAAAATAATCTTCAGGAAACTGCAGTGCTTTCCAATACATTTATAAGAAACATTTATGACATGATATTTTACAATTTCCAAAATATTTCACATGGGATAACAAGATTAATATGGACAATTGTCCTGTCTTACAAGAGAAATAAAATTTTAAAAAGAGTTCCAGATATGGAGATGGGCAGTAATTTTTTGCTTTTTTTTTCTTAAATGAAACATATTTTTTCAAGACTCATCTACTTTCAAATACTAGAATAAGATTAAGTCCTAAAAGAGGACTTTCACATACTACATTTTTACTGTAATTGCATCTCCTCTGGCAGAGCTCAAGAAAGCAGTGTATGCTAACAAAAATGATCAGTGAGTTCAGAGCCATGACCATACCATGAACTTGTACTGAAGCAGCCAAATGCACCCATCTGCAGAGACGGGATCTAAGTGTTGTTTTTCAGTCTTTGTGGTTAATCATACTATGAATTCATTATGTCAGATTCATAATAGCAACAATCTGCAGTGATTCACCATACTGTTCCTTTTCGGGGTACAAATGATCCATTTTTTATTGTATAAACCTTGAAGACTTAATAGCTAATTCAAACTGTTCCTTTAGTGTATCTTACTCTCAGCCTGTCTTCTGGAAAATGCAGACTAGTGTTACCAAAGCTATGCCCTAAAAAAAAATTGTGAAAAACAGGAACAGACCTGTAGAACCTGAGTGTAGATTTATCTATGATAAACAGTATCTCATGAGTGTACTCTGCAAACACATCTTCAACTGGGTGATTGCATATTCCTTTTTTGCACATTTAATTAGACAGTTGACAGAGTTGACAATTTGACCATATTATTATCTGCCATATATTTTCATTCTTCATAAATTTTTTTGTATAAATCACAGATAGAAGTCCAATTTTTAAATACTTAGGTTTTAATCTGATATTTTCAACACATCTTTAATTACAAGATATTTACAACATATAACCTGGCTTCTTCATACTTCCTTTCAATGAACAGAATAAGGCAAATCCTATTATTAGTACTTACTGTACCACCAAGGTAACAAAGTGCAGAAGAAAAAATAGGCAATCTTATTTCAAAGAAAGTTATTAAAACCAGCTTGTCATTGGCAAATCTGAAAAAATAGCAAACATACTGGATGGAATCAGTAATTCAGAGATTTTTGCCTTGGAAGAATCGATTTCAGGTTTCTGTTTGGTTTTGGGTTTTTTCTAATGAATTAAGTTCTGATGTTTAGTAGAAACTGCTTCCCTACTAATGTCCCTAGAAAATGAGGGCCAAACAATTTCAGTATCAGGCCCAGATAAGTACAAATAACCATGAGAACAAACACTGAGAATATATTTATATTTTGGTTTTGGATGTTTTGTGCAAACCACATTGTTTGCACAAGTGAACAGCTTTTGACCTTGCAAATCTCATAATCACTGATTGATGCTGAAGGCTAAAGAATACTATTAAGAGTAAGCATTGATAGCTTTTGAAGACAGACAACATTCCTCTTAAGGCTGGCTTACATGCAAAAAGAGAGTTCCAAAAACTTTTCAAGGTAGAGAAGTGATGTATTATGCTATATAGGTGAAGAGATTTATTACAAAATAAGCACATGAACATTTCTCTACACAAGGTGAGATTTTCAAAGGGATACTCAGTGCGTGCAAGGAGAAGCGGGTAGCCATGCACTTTTGAAAATCCCAGCAAAATACTTTCCTTTTACCCCAGCAACCAAAATTTCACAGGCCAGATTCACAGTTCATGCAAACAGCCAAAATCTCCAGATGCCAGTTTCTACCACGTGGGGATCCGCCCCAACTATGGTGGATGAGTAATGTGGTGACAGTAAACACTAAAAAATAAGCATGAACAGTGAAAAAACCACCCCTCTCATTACAAAATGCAAAGACTTAAGAAATCTTTGGTAAGTTGGGCCACTAACCAGAGCCAGCTCAGCATGGAAGAGGGCTGCATCAGCTGGCCCCTCCTCAAGTGACTGGGCAGTGTAGAAAAAGCAATCTTCCTTAGCAGAGACATAGCCCTCCTCTGGTGAAAGCTGCAGAAAGAACGAAGCTCTGAGTTGGATGAATGGGCAGGACACAGGGCGTGCAGAGTGCATTATGTGTGGGGGTTTAGAGAGGCAAATGAATTCCAAATGCAGCAAAGAGTTCATTTCAATCACAGTCACGGTGTTGGGTTGGTAAAGAGATAATTATTAATTTTTTTTCAAATTTACCTGAATTGATTCAGCTTCATATCTCATTTTACATTCCCAAGTAATGAAAAAGGCCTATCCAGCTATACCACTGTAGCGGACCGCTACTGTATGCAGTTTGTCTCGACATTGCCGTCGCACCACCATTTCCCTGCACTGACGTCCTGCCTCAGAAGGCACAGCCCCCCCATCGCGGTCTGTGGACGAGCGCCACCATGCACGTGTGCCACCATGCGCGTGCGTGAGAGCCAGGGCGCGAAAAGGCTTCCTGAAGCAGCATGTACCGTACAATGGGTGCTGCCATGCGCATGCGCAAGAGCCAGGGTGCGAAAAGGCTTCCCGAGGAGGCCACACGTACTGCACGTGCCGCGTGAACAGCACGTAC